GAGGTGACCGTCCGTCTCGGGAACCTGTTGGCAACCACCTTGGACATGACCGTGCACTGTAAATCCAAAGACGACGATCTTGGCTCTCACATACTTTTTCCAAAGGCAGACTATGAGTTTCAGTTCAAACCAATTTTTTTGCGCACCACGCTGTACTTTTGCAGCTTCAAATGGTCGGGTATATTGCACTATTTCGATATTATAAGGCTCACAGGGATGACTGCACCAAATGTTTTTGGTCTATACTTCAGGATGGCCTTGTTTGTATGGTCCTAACCCTCCAAAGTGTTATAAGTGGAACGAAAAGCTTGGTGCATGAGAGAGGCTGTATTACTACACATTGTTATGTTTATGTAGCCCTTGTTCACAGTGAATAAAATTAATCCGTTCATCTAATGTTCTGATTCTTGCTTTACTCATATGTGTGATCCACTCACTCTGATCCAGCTTTGAAGCATCTCATTTTTCTCCTAACAAGCATTTAGAAATTGGACGTCGGCAAATTGTTCAAATGAAGCATTGATTTGCAAAGTACTCTTATTTTATGTCTACTTTTTCCTTTATCTTCATGTTCACTGAAATCTTCGATTTTATCTTGAAATCATATCTTCACGTAAGCCAAAAAGAAAATAGCATTTATATTTAAAAATATAAATATAAAAAATGCTCCGTAGTGGGTATAAATTTAAAAGCCCATTTAGTAGGTTTTAAGTAAGCCCATGTGGCCCATATTTTATTGGTGGATTACGGTTTCCAACTTAGCTAACCATATATATACATCATTTTCTCACTTACTTTCTATAGTGTGCTTCCATATTTGGTAAGAGAGAACTCTCTCTTTTGTTTGGGTAGAGGTCACTATCGGGAACCATTTGAGAGAGCCAGAAATATGTAGGGTGAAGGAATTGTGACTCATTTCATTTTGTATATGTGAAATAAATAATCTTCTCTTTTTGTTTTGGATGTGAGTTTGTTTGTTGTAGCATTTGGGAGATAATATATCCTTAGCATTTAACTACTTCAAATTTGGTATTCTTCTCTCTTTTATAGCATGTTTGGTTTGCGGAAAAGATTTGATGGGAAATAATTTCTCATGTACCCAAGGGAGGGAGGAGGGTTGCATTTCCCTCCCTATTTTCCCATGTACCATGCAACCATTTTCCATACATGTGGAATTCAAGTCTATGATGTTAAATTTCATAGAGATGGGATAGTGTCCCACTATGAGTAACACCGATATTGTCCCAAACTTAACCACCTACAAAGCCCAGTTGGTGTGTGGGGTTTTATCACAAAAGGACTCAATGCTATTATGAGTGGAACCACTTATTATAAGTTGTAATTTATTTAGTCAAGTTTCCAGTGTGGAATTTTTTATTCTTCAACATATGAGAGTTAGACACTCTTCTATGATCTCTTTTTGTTATTAGTGAAATTTCCTCACTATCCTTGAACTGAACGTAGAAGCTTATGTAGTTTTCCTGAAAATTTGGAGTCATGCCAAGTATAGTGAACATAGAAGTTTATGTAGTTTTCCTTAAAATTTGGAGTCATGCCTAAGTTGTTGGTCATGTGACTTAGATGATACCAATCACTCATGATGGATCCAAACTCTTTAAGGCACGATTGGTATACTTTTTTTTAATTACTTTCCATTTCTTTTGTTAGCATGTATTTGACAACTTTATGGTGTATTTACATCACCATACATTATATATGAGGGAAGGTTAATTTAGGTTGTACGTACCCTATAAAATTCCTTCAAGTATATGAAAACAAAATTAGCGTTCTTTTGCTATAAAAGCATAAAGCTAGAAGCCTTGAATGTCCATACTGAGAGCATGAAACAAATGGAGGGAAAAGCAATGCGGCAGTGGTACTATTTTCTTGTGCTCTTCTTGGCTTTGGCATTTGGCCCAAATATCTGCTCTGGCCTTCCCGTCATGACAAAGCGCTTTGTGCGCATTGTTAACTTGCTCGACAACAAGCAACTTGTCTACCATTGCCATTCAAAAGATGATGATCTTGGTCAACGTACTCTTGCTTCCCAGCAGGAATGGGAATTTAAATTTCATCTCGACTTCGAGACCATTTTTACCTGTGATTTTTGGCACTCAAATAACCACCATGCTCATTTCGATGTGTTTTATCCCAGTAACAAGTTTGTTCACAGGTGTGGCGGGGCCCATTGCATATGGAGAGCAGAAGAGATTGGACTCTCCTTATATCACATCAAGACTGGTCTCTGGGAAAAATCTTATGATTGGGAAATATATGGAAAAACATTATGAGTAAAATCTAAGTACTGTATAACTTGGGATCCTAGATTGTACGACCACAGTAAATTATAATAAAAGGGATATACATGTTCTTGTTTTTTTTGTCATCTTCATTTCACTTTCTCACAGGTCTAAATTTCAAGTCTAATACTTTTTTTTTATAGAAAGAGAATTTATTCATGGAATTAAAGACATATAAAAAGCGATATGATACAGTGGCCTCGTTAAAACCTTCCTAGGACAACCTCATGAGACAAACTTCAGGGGAGGAAAGAGCATGTTATGGACTAACAAGCGAGTCTAACACTTGAACAACTCATATTGGGTGATGTGGAGTACGTGTAACTCTAATACTATGAAAGAAGTTGAAGCTCCACCTCAAAAACCAATTGACAATCGGAGTTGTAGCTCAATTCTTCCTTGCAAGGTTTCTCAATTTTTCAATGTGGGACATCTTCACATCCTTACAGTTATTCCCATTTAGTGAATAGATTAATCATATAATTAATATTTTGTTAAGTGACCCTAAGTACTAAGGTACAAAACTAAAAGAAAAGAAAATGGGTTATTTTAGTAATGAAAGGGGTAGAAAAGATGAGAGAGAGAGAGATCCAGATCCGGGAGGTTTAATAAGAGTGTCTAACTATACCAATCTATTCTTTCCTTGACAGATCTATTGTATTTGCCACAAATCTGAGTTGGCTTTGGTTGCGACTTATCTTGGGGTTAGTAGTTGAGGGGGAGCAAATCCACTGTTCCCAAACCCGTGTCCCCTCTGTGTCACTTGCTTAATTGAATGACATATGTTCGTTTACTTAACCAACTATATATTAACATTGTTAACCCTGCGAAAACATAATTAAAAGGAAAAGGAAAAATAACACTCCAATCCCATTTGCACCCACCTCCTCCTTACACCATCGCTCCAGCACACACAAATTATATCCTCCAGGTTAACATTGTTACCTCCATCGCCATCATCACTTAAATCGCTCTCAACTCACCTAGACTATTAAGAAAGTATTTCCCATAAAGAACTAACACAAACAGTCCTAATTCATTTGGGGCTTTTTCGGTATGAGATTCTCACCGCGAGTAGTGTAGAGGCCATGATTGGATCAATCAGAAAAACAAAAAAACAAAACCCCACAATGTAAAGCTAGTGAATTTGACATAAGTTCAACGATATTGAAGTACAATGAAATTCTCTAAACAAATTTGGGGTAATTATATGTCTCATGTGATGTTACTTGAATCGGGGCAATCGAAAAAGTTTGCAGCACATATTACCAATCGAGCAAGCTTGAGTCCCACTATATTCCAAGGGCATATCAATCATCTCGTTTCAATTCCAAAGCCAATTGATTTTCAAAATTTAAGAAGAAGGTATTTTCTTTAAAATAATAATATAAATGTTTCAAAATAGGTGTTTTTTTTTCAATGTTTCAACATAGTTAACGTTGTTAATACTTGGCTAAGTGGAAGTACCGATTCCAACAACAAAAAATGTGGAAGTATAAATGTCACTCGGTTAAGCAAGGGTCACAGAGGGGGAAGAAATTCGGGGACAGTGCATCCACTCCCCTCTTTTAGGTGCTGCGGATGTGTCTCATATTAATGATGACGAGAATTATTATTATTTTCTTATATATATTTGGTGGTCGGTGGGGAAATAAATATGAGATAGAAATAGTAGCACTCTTTTTTAGTATTTTAAAATGAGGAAATGCTAGTAATCTTCTCTCTAACCTTTTCCTCTGGACATTCTCCCTTTAACTCGTGACATGTGTCACTTTCTTTATAATTAAAACAATGTCATTAATGTATCACATAAACTAATTTTTATTTTCCAAATTTATCCTTATTAAATATGTTGAATTTTTGTTTTTCCAAGAAATTAGTCTTTTTATAACTTTATTTCTTATCACCTTTTTTTTTACTTTAAACGTCAGTTTTTGTTTAATGTCCGTTTTTTTATTCTAGAAAAATAGATGTTGCTAATAAACTAGTTTCTTTTACTGATATGTTTATTGTTATTACTATTTATGTTTTACTGTTATGTTTTTTTTCTTCTTATAACTACCTGAAAATAATATCTTTAAAACATCTTTTTCGTAAAATGACTATTGATGGAAGTGATATCATTTTTGTTGTGGAAAAAAAAAGGTTCTCTTCGAAAAAAAAGAAAGAAGACACTTTTTAAAATAAATAAATAAAATTGTTTTTTTTCTTATTTATATATATATTTTTTAATAAGGTGGTAATAAAGTTGTGAAAAAATCAATACATTAAATAAGGATAAATTTGGAAAACAAAAATTAGCTTGTATGATGCATTAATTACATTGTTTTAAGTATAAGGATAATGACACATGTCATGAGGAAAAAGGAGAAGGTCCAAAAGAGAAGGTTAGAGAGAAAGTTGCTAACATTCCCCAAGGAAGGACAAATATCCATTCAAATTAAGAAATAATTAGCACTAATATTGTTTCTAAACGTGCCAAATTGTTAATAGGAAGCATGAATTTCACGATGGTCGACTTTTTTGTGTCGTCAGATTGCCCTTAGTTGTCATTCTGAATCATTCCTTTATGCCGTTTTCCATAAAAACATGCATGTATATGACAATTTTCATTTATGTCCGGTGTATGCATTACTCAAAATATGACAAGATTATAACCAAATATGAAAACCAAATAATATAAGTTTTCTATAAAAGCATATGCAGGCAGCAGATTGCAAATGCAAGAAGCAAATGAAGGGAAAAGCAATGAGGCAGTTGTTCTATTTTGCGCTCTTCCTTTCTTTGGCATTTGGCCCAAGAAGCTGCTTTGGCTTCTGGCCTGGGATAAAGCACTTTGTGAGAATTGAGAACGAGCTGGCCAACCAACAACTAAACTACCATTGTGAATCCGATATGGACGATCTTGGCTATCGCATTCTTGCTCCCCATCAGGAGTGGGAATTTAAATTTCGAGCTAGCTTTGACACATTTTTTCAATGCTCAATGTGGTACGCGAATTTCATCGTTACGTTTGATGTATTTTATCCAAGTGATGCGTTTATGGACAGGTGTGGGGGAGTTCATTGCATATGGAGAACTCAAGAGAGTGGAATCTACTTATTTCACATCAAGACTGGAGAGTGGGAGAAAATGTATGACTGGAGAACAAGAACATGAAGATGAAGATGATGATGGGGAAAATATTCTTTACTTAGTAGGGTTGTTGTCTGCTGAAACCCTAGACATGTATGCTTTCATTCTGTCGTACCTCAAAAAATTGTAATAAAGGAGAGATATGTGTTTTTTTCTCTCATTTTCATCATTTTTTTTTTTTTTTTTTTTTTTTTTTTTTGTTCTTCTTTTCCAATTAGGTTTTTCTTGAACGCAAATCTTCATGGAAGCCACACATTAAATTTGATATAGAAATATAAAAACGGATGCATTCATTAGGAATAATCCAGGCGTTTTTTAGGGTCAATTTAGGCCAATTAACGGGATAGTTTACTTTTTTTAATACCCATTTACCCTGCCAAGAGAAACGGGAAGCAACAAAAAGTAAGAGGTAATATCCCTTTTGTTTCTTTCTTCTCTAAAATTTCCATCTTGCCTCAGTGATGGTGGTTCTCCTTCCTGTTCTTTTTTCTCAACAAAAACAAAAACAAAACAAACAAAAAACTTTATTCCTTTCATTTATTTACCTTATCTATAGGAGTGATTCATGTTTCTTCTTCTTTTTTGACTTTCAATATTGCAGATTTTTTATTTATTTATTATTTTGTGATTAGATATAGATTTGGTTTTTGAAGATTTTTAACCTATATGCGTTCGGATTAGACATATTAAATTGGACAACAATACAATATATTGTGTCTTATAAGTCTAATCTAGAGGGGGTGGGACTCGACTCATAACGACTCACTTAAACTCAACTCCAATAATCCAATCCAAGTCGAGCCACCAAATGAGGCCTTAAGGAATAAAGAATATGTAATATAGAACCGTTTGCCCAAAAGTATTGCTAAATCTCAAGACACCTAAATCATCAATATCATGTAACAAAATGAGTAACACAGCGTGAGCGCCACATATTGCTTTAAGCAGGCGTACATATTGAAAGAAAACTAGCTAACTACTTCATTATTTCTAGGAAAAACTTTATTTGCATGCATGTGTTCCTAAACAAAACCAAACAAATCCACAGTGCAATTTGCCGTGCTGATTTTCAGTGAGGCCATGTAAACTGCAACTCCAACCTCTTATGCGCCTCGATGAAGAGATACAAGCCATCCTGCTTCACGCGCCAAGCGCAGAAATTTCTGGAACACCTAGTTGAATCTCTTTTAGCATCAAATATGTCGAAATGCCCATTTACATTTCCCCAACTCATGTCACAAGACAACACAGTGCTAGGATTGACGTTCCAGGTAAAGTCATGTAAAAATAGAATCGAATGGCTTGGATCCACGCCGGCGGCTTGGCACTGAACATTCAGATTGGTGTTTTTGGCCAAGTCGTTAAAAAGGGTCACTCGAAAATCATCCATTGAGCTGCATATGGACAGGGACAGTAGAAGGAGAAGCAGAAAACTTAGTGTGTTCATTTTTGTCCTGTTTCAGAACCTTGGAGAAGATGCTTGATCAGATGGTTATTGAAGGGCCCATATGATAACCATTTCAATTTTAGTTTTTAGTTTTCATTTTTTGGGCTATGTTATGGAGGAAAATGAGAGTGATAATGGGAGTGAGGATGAGATTGAGAGAGAGGATGAGAGGGAAGGATGGGAGGGAGGAGTAACAAAAGTAAAAACAATTTCAAATAGAATTCATGTTTTAATTTTTGTTTTCACTTTTGTTACTCCTTCATCCCATCCTTCTTATCTTCTCTATAAATCTCATCTTCACTCTCATTCTCACTTGTCCCTCTTTTTACTCTGTACTCTAGCACAAAAAAATAAAAAATAAAAACTAAAATTGAAATGATTATCAAACGGCCCGAAATGTTCTGCTTCTTTAGCTTCCTTTAAATAGAAAAGCAGTTGTGAAATTTGAAACCAGCAACTTAAGTTTATTGACCAAAAAATACACTAATATGGTAACTGATAATTTAATGGATACCCCTATACATTTACTATTTCATTGGTGTGACAATCGCCTGACTTAAATTCATTATATATATATATATATATATATATGTTTTTCATGTACTTCCGGGGGGGGTAAATCGACAGTTAACCCTTTTTTAATAAGCTTCATGAAACTTGAAATCAAAATGATAAAGAAAAAAAAGGCAACCAATATGGTAGAGGTTGCAATGGAAACCTAATTTGAAGGCCAGGGATCAAATTGATATTTATATTTCTAATAACAATATATACAAAAAGCATTTTTCAGAACATGTAAACCAGCTCAGTACCTCACCTGTTAAGCATTGGAACACAACTTTCCAGGACTGAACAGAAATTTGCAGCCTAATCAGTACCAGCCAGGCCAATTAGTTGAGCAACTTCATCTTCAAGGCGAGAAAAGTTAGACAAGAACTTTTCATGAAGTTCATCCGAGCCGGATTGAATTTGCTGCCACTGAGAAATACCATCAACAATGACCTTCATACCACTCTCTACCAATTCCATTCCCTTCCTAATTCCATCCGGAAGTTTCCTTTTCTTATTGGTTTGCTTTCCACCATTAATCTCCCCTGTTTGCTTTTTGCAGTCGATTTCCATGTTTTCACATTCCGTAGTCTCTGGAATGACATTTGATTTCTTTTGAAACATTTCTTTCAGAGTTAGACCCTCCCTCACAAGCAGACCAAGCTGGTCAGAGCTAGGCATCATTGCAAGAAGCGCTGTTTCCTTCTCAAGAAATATCTTAAACTGAGACATGAATCTCTCCACGCTTGCCTCATTTGCAGATACTAAATCATATGAAAGCGCTGCATCTTGCGGAACAAATCTCCAAAGTTCATTGCAACATGTCCGAGCAGAAAAATATCCAAATGCTGCGATGGCCAAATGAATAAATGCCCAATGCCGTTCTCTCAACAACATGTGATACAACTCCCACAGAGCAGAGGTCTTGGCACTTTGATTAGTTTCATTGATTTCCATATGAGCAAGGCCTGCCATGAAAAGAGCCAGATTTGGTTTGCATTCATACAATTGGGTATCAGAAGCTGCAGGTCCTGAGATAAACAGGTTTTCAAGCTCAAAGATTACTTTCTCCATTTCGTCATATGCATATAGATGGTTCATTTTTGAGATGATCCCCAATGTTTCACTCAAAAGTTTGCAGTAGTGCTCCTTCATTAATTTATCTGAGGAAACTCTGTAGTTATGAATGATAGCAACTAAAAACTTCAGGGTCTTCACATCGATATCAGATATGCTGATCGGGCTTCAAGAGAGAAAAACACACTTCATTAAATATAGTGGTTAAAAGATTCCATGATGAAAGGTGGAGAAGAAAGTGCAAGAAAAAGATTTAACAGTGGTTTTGGAAATGCATGAAGAGGAATTTATGGCATCATGAAAAGAATACAGAAGAAAGTAATTATGAATAGAGATACTGTTAAACTGAAATTCTTCAAGAAACAATGGATAGGCTAAAGAATATTATATCATAGTGAAATAATATTGGTTGTGCAGCATATTGTTTGGGAAGTTTGTTTAACCTTAGTAAGTCACAGTTCTCAAAAAAATATTAAATAAATAAACTTGCATGATTGAATAATCATTTAGACTAAAACAGTTTACTACCAAGTAACATGCATAAAGGTTTCAAGTTACTTACAGAGACTGCAAAGAAGCAGACAAAGCAAAGACTGGGACCCCAAAAGCACCGGAATGGAAAGATTGCATCGACTTGTCATCAAAATTTTCTACGAAGACATAGTAATCAGTAATGATTCTTTGAGTTGCTATACTTTTCATCTTGTCTGAGAGTAAATTTAATGGAAAGCCTTCCGTGAACAAGGCCAAACGCATAACTGATGATAATTGAGCTCCATCATCACTAACAATAGACATGTAAACCTGGTCTACCATAGATTGTGCACCAAAAGTAAGAAGCATGCTGATCGATCTTGCCAATTTTCTCAGAGCAGAACCAGGTACAAGAACTGATTCCGCAGATGCCACAAACTTTAATAATGAGCACAGTTTACCAATAATGCCACTCGCCATCCCTGGCTCAGCATAACGCAGCATAAAGCACCAAAGTTCCATCACAATTTCCCAGCAAAGAAAGTGAGGATGAAATATATTCTCAAGAAGGAAAGACTCCAACTCACTCCAAGCAGGACTAGGAGAGACCACAAGCATGAAGATTTCCAATGCATTCAAAAGAAAAGAAAACATAGGCTGCCAGACAACTTCCACAGTTTCTCCGGACCCGTATAAACCAGGAACTTGCAAAAGCAAAATGGAAGAATATACATCTTCATCGATTAATATATCCAAGAACCAACCAAGCTTTCTGGTAATACCAAGTTTTACATCTTCTTCAAGATCAACAGAAAATTTCAAAAAACCAAGAAACAATGAAACACGACCAAGCAACAAGGCTTTTTCTCCAGGAAATGCTTCCCCACATAAAGAAAAGATTTCATCGAATGAACTTATCTTGTTAAATTTACTCAGATCTTCAGAAACAGTATCTCTGTAGCTTCCTTTACTGAACAGAGAGTCTAGAATCTCACCCTTGAACTCCTGCTTCATTTGAGATGAATTCAGTAAAGAAATGAGTAAATCCAAGGATGCTTTCTCCAAGAGTTCTGTGAAGACATCAGCGGCAGTTTTTAAGAGCTTTTCATTGCTCAATAAAATTTTAAAGGTTGAGATCATTAGGATGCAATTTGTTATCTCCCCTTGTACCAGATATGCTTGACATGGATACAGGGAAGATATTTTTATTGCATTAATCAGATAAAACTTGACTGGAAGAAATGTCTTTCTAGCTTCTGTCACAGAAATGGTTTCCTTCAGAGACGATGACCAAGCCTCAGCTGCACGTCTTAACAATTCATTGACCAATGAGATCAGATTTGAAATTATATCTGCTACATTCACCTTTGTTGCGAGTACCCCTTCACCAAGCTGAAGCAAAGTAACTACACCTTTCCACGAAAAATTAAGAACCTTTACCAGACTGCCACCATTATTAGCAGCAACAATGCCTATCTCACACAATTTTTCTATTGTATACTTCGTTACATTAATAACATGATTCATTTTACTGAAACCTTCAACGTCCATTCCAGTTTTGTCCCCTGGAAGTTTTTCATCCCAGGACTCCCAATTTACAGCTCGGGCATATGCTCCACATAGTCTTATTACAGCATCAATGACCTCCAGTGTGACCTTTACCACTGATTCAAAGCACTGAATTCTCTGCATTTAGGTTGTGCAATGTCTAATGTGAGATGTGATCGGTATTTTAAAATATATAATAATTAGAGTTCACAAATGGAAAATTGACCAATTGATCAACAAGTGTTCATTTAAATAAAATGGAATATTTTAAAGTTCAATAAAAACATAAATATATACCGGACCATCATGTAACACATATCTCAAAAGTGGCCTATGTATATTTATTTATGCAATCCATCACAAGTATATTTTAGCCCAACTCATAAGAAATAACATTTAAATCAACACTAAAGCTTGGCTCATTCAAATAAACAAGAGTCTCAATACCCAATCAAAATCCCCTGGCACTTCATTGGAACCTTAATGTTAATGTAAGTTTTTTTCTTTGTTAAACATCAGAAATTCATAAGCCCTGACTCACCAAGTATTTAGCAGTACTCGATTTAGCAAAGCATTTCTTAAACTATTACTAAAATGCATTTCGAAAAGAAAATATTTGAGAAGTAATATCAATTTCAAAAATATAGAAAAGAAAAAAGTGAAGACATTCTTTTCATTAACAGTTCTGTGGCGTCCCAAAGTTTGTGACCTCTTTCAATATGAATTATTACTACATAACAGATAAGATCCAGAAGATAAACAAAGTACTTTTATTAGAATAAATGATCCATAAATATTATCACAGGAAACACAATGCAATAAGTACCTTAATCTCTGATATTGAATCTTTGATCAAGTTTAACTGTTCCACGAAGAATTTCTCAACAATATCTAATGACAGCTTGTCAACAGAAACAGGGAATCTTGCCAAAAATGAAAAACTAGCACCAGAAAAGCTCAGCAGATTCAGAAGCAGCTGCAAAATGAAGTACATAGTGTCAATGAAAACTGTATTCTACAAGACAGCTAGTTCACAACACAGCAGACAGATGATGGAAGCAGCTCATGCATATGCTACCTTTTTTATTGAGTATGTATTAACATCTGGCATGGAATGTTATCCAAAATACCAGCAACTAAAGCACAGAAACATTACAAATGTCCTACATGTCAACGAACTTCAGAAGAAAATCCCTCAAAGAAATAAACAGCATGCAGACCCTCCAATAAAAGGTATAACTTGGTTCAAGAACAAAATACAAGCTGATAGGAACAACATTTAATACATCTACTTGCACACTTTCCAAGAAAAAAAATTCAGTCATTTTAAACTGGAGAAGTCTCCAAGTTAAGAAATTTGTCGTGTTAGTATTCAGGTTAAGACAAATGATGCTTTATATAAAAGCAACATTTCTTTCTGTAAGCAAATAAGAAGACTGACAGTGTGCACTAACATTTACCTCAAAGAACAGGTTGGCATGCTCTTCTTCTTGAGACTCCTCAGTCGACATAAGAGTCATTTTTAGGTGTTTACCACACCATATGCTGGCCTGAAGGGTAAATCATGCTCAAGATATTAGACACCACAGGTTCCAATGAAGAATAAAAACTTAGTATACTTGCTCTTAATCCAAACACAGTGCAAGTAAAGACATATTACCTTGGTCCCAAGGGCAAGGAAATGTGCTAGACAGTTGGATATATCAGATTCTAGGTATTTTGCAGCCACCTGTAATATAGCCCTATTTAACATGCACTGGCTTATATCCAAGCAAGTATAGTCCTCCCAAAATGTCTAGCTTGTTGTTAAGAACAAAACCATGAACAGATGATTGCATAGCAAACAGTACATGAGAGGATTGCACACCGAATTATGACCATTTGCAAAAGAAAATAATGGTGGGCTGGTTAGCCATGAAAGCTTTCCTATGCATGTAAATTTGAAAACACATATTTCTAAGAAACTTTATGGCCTACAACATTGCATCAAAAGAAACACAAAGGTCATCATAAGAGCACTGAGAAAAACAAAAAGTAATTGATCCAGTGGCAAAGCTTTTCTCATCAACACTTAACAAGAAGCCAAAAATGGGGTTATCTTCCATTTTATTACTGCGCACAACGTTTATGTACGAGAAATTGAACAAATATTATAATAGAACGTTGAAACGACAATACTGAAATAATCCTTAATTTCTCACTGAAATTGGGGAAACACATGACTATGCAGTGTTCCTGAAAGCTGAAAAGTAAAGGATGTATAAAACAAAAATAAGTGCATTTCAAATTTTCACAATTTGCTAAACACTGAACAGATTAGAAATCATAAGTAATGGAATAAATTATTAAGAAAAAACTCAATAGCATTGAATTGGATACTGTGAGAGATTCCGCAAGGGAAGCCAATTCAGATTTCTCTGTTATTTTCAAATCCCCAAGCTTCGTAAGTAGTTCAATACGATTCTCCACGACCTGCATAACACAGAAGTCCAGGTCATGGTAATCAAAACGTGAATTAAAAGCACACAAAAAAACAAAAAAAATCGAAGAAAATGTCACTTCATTAAATTTGCGAGGCAGTTCAAGTTTTGATTAAAATTGGATTCAAATTTTGTACACGCTACTACACGAAACCTAGCTAAGAAATGCATAACTAAAAGCTGAGAGTGAGAGAAATGAGAGAAATGAGAGCGAAACAGAAAATTAAAAATGAATGGACTGAAAACCCTAAGGTTCAAATTGAATTTTTTGCAAAATTGGAAATGAAAAACTGAAAATACATACATCTGAGCATCTAATGGCGTCTTGTATACTCTGCAATTCGCTGCTTGAGCTCCCTCCCTCCATTTCCTTCTCTTTCTCTCAATACAGCTCTCACACTCTCTCTCTCTCTCTCTCTACTTTCTCTTCTGGTGGATTTGATTTTCCCGCCTTTTCAAAAAGAAGAGGCAAATTTATAATTACACTTTATTGAACAGAAGAACCATATTTATAGTTTCACCCCTTTAAGAGGTTTCAAATCTCCTCCTTTTTTTTTTTTTTTTTTTTTTTTTTTTTTTTCATTCGGAGGAGAGAAACCCCTTGGGGTTTCGAACCTTGGCGTCAAGCAGGGGGAAGAGGGAAGCCACCACTGTGGTACCTGCTCTCGACCTATTTGTTTTTTCAATTTGTGAACTTGGAACATTTTGGAGTAAGCTTAAATAATTGGGCTTGGTTATGGACTTCATTCAAAAAATATATAAAAATAACAATACTAAGTCAAAATTGGGAAGTTTGGACAGAATACTGAACGTGATGATAATATTGTTGGGTGTGGAGAGAAAAACTCTCAAGGGGTGTATTTAATTTAGATTTTAAAAGATTTTAAAGAAGTTTAAAAGTTTAGGTGTATTCAATTTCAATTTTATAGAAGTCCATTTAATTCTTAATATATTCAATTCAGACTTTTTAAACTTCATTCAAATTTAGATGTATTCAATCATAACTTTAAAAGATTTCATAAAAATTTGAGTGTATTCAAAAACTCAATGATTTTAAAGGAAATACAAAAAATGGTGGATTTCGTTTGATAATAGATTAATTTTAGGCCATAACAAGTCTTTGCTTTCCCCCAGAAATTTTGATAGATATATTATTTTTATTCTCAAGATATGATTTAACTACTTCTACTATCACTATTTTATCATGACTATCACCATAACCACTACCGCTGCCGCCACCACCACCGCCATCGCCACCACTGTCATCGACACCACCCCCAACACCACCACCACTCACCGCCGCCCCTATTACCAGCTTCACCATCATCCCTACCGTCACCACTACTACCACCAGCACCATCATCATCACTGCCACCACCACCACCCTTACCCTCACCGCCACCACCCTTATCACCACATCCACCACCACTACCACCCCCACTATTAGCCCCACCGTCACCACCACCACAACCACTACTAGCATCATCACCATCACTGCCACTGCCACCACCACTGCCACCACCTTCACCATCGCCGCCACCACCTCCACCACCACTACCTCCCCCACAAACCACCATCGCCACCGCCATTCCCATCCCCACCACCACCATCACTATAAACTCCATTAAAATCAAAAACTCAATTAAAATCTATATACGAATTCAGTCAAAATCTATGTGGAGTTTGTAGAATTTAGTCAAACTCAATTAAATTCAATTAAACTCCATCAACTTTATAATTCTTTTAAAATCATTTAAAATCTTAATTGAATACACCCTTAACCTCAAGTGTGACGATTGTTGGTTGTTCAAGGTGTGGCCAGTATTATGGTATATGTCAATGCCCAATACATGGATTGTATAGCACTATAGTATGATCATTGGTATAACTTGTCTACTTGTTTTAATATGTGTGGATGACATGGTTGACTTCTCACTCTTAGGGAATAGTATCAATAAATATCCACTTATATTATAACACGTTGATAAGTTATATCACATGACCGTATTACAATAATACATTATAATTACTCATGCCTAAGACATGGTTGCGAGCCAGAATAATTTTAATCATTAATTGATAGTTGTGGGGATTTGTTAACAATTTTCAACATTATCAATTAAGTTGGTACATAAAGTGAAAATTGAGTGTCATTAGATCAAATGATTGTTAATTAACAAATAAAACTTCAATACATATAGTCGTAGTAAACACACATGAAGTACCACTTCACTTAGAAAAGTGACAGAGTGATTACTGGTTTATTCACTCTGTTGTAGGAGAAGCCTAGCTAGCTAGAAAGAGCAACACAGCAGGAGACTTTCAAGTAGAACTGTAGGAGCAAACACACACAGCTTATGTATATTAATTGCTCTAAATTAATGGTATCCGGGGGAACTCTTCCTATCTAATTTCCCAGGCATGCCTACACCTCCAGAGCCGTCAAATCCTCCAGTACCGCCAACACCACCACCTCCAAAGCCAGTTCCACCTCCAAAGCCAGAACCACTACCACCACCGCTGCCACCTCCACCACCTCCCCCTCCGCCTCCTCCACCCCCACCACTTCCACGGCCATACCCACTCCCTGAACCAAACCCTGACCCTGTACTACCTGGACCGGCACTGCTGCCACCGCCACCACCCTCTCCTCCTCCTCCGCCCCCAATTCTACTGCCAATGGACGGAGATGGTGTGGGAGCCAGTGTCTTAGAAAACGGTGGAGGGCTTACAGAGTGGACCAAGCTTATGAAAAGGAAAAAGGCAACGTAGATCAGTAGTGTCCGAGCCATGTTTAATTAAACACTTTATGATACTTTCACATTTATGCATGGTTTGCATAGTATGATCTGTTTATATAGGGCAAGGAGAGGAGCCAACTCACGAGATAGGTAAAGTACTATCGAACCCCAAGTCTACGTACCAAGATGAGGCATATTTCAATATGGGAACTCCAAGTTTTGTGTCCTTCCAACTTTTAGATTTAACAAATGAAACCGGGCATGTAGCAACGTGACACCTATGTTTTGAATTTAGGAGGTGGCATGCGTTACAATCAAAGGCTGCCAATAGCCATGATCTGCTTTCATGGCTCATGCCATGCGATGTTGCAGGAAATCTGCGCATAGGACGTTACAACTTACAAGAGCATTGTCTTTCTTTCCTGCGAAAAGAACATTCAAAGGGAGTATAGGTACTTGGATATTGATCAAAGAAGAAACAGGGGGTTTTGATTTGCTTAACCGAAAGATTTTAAAAAGATACCATCTTTCTTCGATTTCTCCATATTTTCTGCAATCAGTACGCAAGTTTGGGGTTAAAGCTAGATAACTGATACTTACTTGGGTAAGAAAAATGCTCCCTAATAACAAGCCAATCGTCACTGTAGCATATGGCATGGATCACCAAACTCGTAAAGTACGCCACGCTACATATGTATGTGGTGTTGAGAGTGCCGCACATTGGAAGATGGAAGGATCTCGAGTTTCTCTACCTATTGCCAATATTATTTTGGATTGGATGCTCACATGTTAATATATGGTCTGAGAGCAAGCTCATCTGCAACAAGTTATACATGAGTAGCTCTGATCTTTAACTTTTAAATATAGATGTGTTTCATATTCTCATCCCCAACTTTACAATTCTAGTTTCTTCCTAGATAATTCCAATATTTAGCACTTTCTGTGGGTACAACATCAACAAAATTCTCAATGCTAGAAGTTTAAGTTTACCGTTTAAAGGACAAAGAGACAAGTTTTTCTTTTTATGTTTGCTAAGAAAAAGGAAATTTGGGGTATATTCAATTAGGATTCTAGAGCATTTTAAAAGATTTTTTTTGAAGTGCCAGATTTCATGGAACTTTTAGATTTTGCATAGACTTCATAAGAGTTCTATATAATTTTATTATAAACTTCCTTAAGATTTGTATCGCTTTTATTCCAGACTTCCATAATTTCTTTAACATATTTCTTTAAAGATGAATGTTAACTTTGACATCCTTACCCAAACAATCAAAAAACCAATCAGGCCCAACGCAATCCCATACATGATCTCCTTCTATTCTTCAGACATATATGATGCATGGGCTGCATGGTTGCATTTATCAAAAGGTCTAATCGCACTTTCAAAATTCTCTAGTATTCCTAAGCATGAATTATTGGTTACTCAAACACATCTTTTCCTTGAACAACATAAAACAACATTTAAAAAAAGTTATGTTTGACGGAAAGCAAAATTAAAAAGAAATTCTCAAGAAATATAGTGACAATATGTATAACAAATTTGAAAGAAAAGTTTAAGGAAAATATTCAACATTTATTCATTATCAAAACAAATAAAGCATATCAATCACAACATGTGATGCAACTATGAATTTTATCATATCAATCACAAATAAAGCATAAAAAATATACAAAACCCAGAAAATACTACAGACGTTGGAAGGTAATTATCAAAACAATGCTACAAGGTTGGATGTTCTTATCAAGATAATTATCAAAACAATGTTCCCTATAGAATTAAAAGGGTAGCTACAGCTTCCAACTAAACATGGATGCTGCCATTCATAAGAATTATTCTCTCTGCTCATTTGATTCAAAGTTAATTTCAAGCTAGTTTGTCTAAGTGGTCATTTTAAGCATACGATATAACTTTAATTATTTATTATTTGTACAAATTCATTTTTCAAGTTGTTCATCGAGTGTTTGGTCATTCAACAAATCAGAGTTTGAACTAAACTGCATAATAAAGTTTGAAACATGCAATCAAGAGAAGTGGAATTTGAAACATGCATCGATTCTGAAAATACCTGCAGGATGACTCAAAATGCCTAGAGGAGGGTGAATAGGCCAATTTAAGATTCTAATCAAATAAATAAAAATAAACTTTGGTAGCAGGATTGATATGGCTTATCAATCCTGTAACGTGCTGGGCATAAAATAAAAAAACACGCAGAGAATTATTTTACGTGGTAAAACCCCACCTCTGGGGAAAATCCACGGGACTCCTCAGTCCAACACAAATCCACTATAGAACGATGATTACAAGAAGTACTCACACACTTATCCTAGACACATTCTAGATAATGTTTACCGACTTCTTCGTAACTCAACTTCTGTCACGGGATGATCTTCGACACTCCTTATGTTGAACGCAATACTGGCCACGATTGCTTAAAGCTCACCAGAGGAAAACCGTCACCACGGTCTTGGTGCCCTCAACCGTATGAGTCACCGACATGCATATGAATGCAATATGAATGATTAAAGTGTTTGATAAATCACCAAGTAAACATTGAACACTTGATGATTTATCTCAAATATACGCACAACAGGTTTTCTTAGAATTCTATATGCTCAGAACAAATATCTCAAAAGCTGTACAAATAAAAGAATGGCACATGATCTTTTATACAAGACTTGTTCTCTCTCATGGGAGAGAAACCCAATAGGCCACGAATATTAAACTTCCTATTGCACCACAACCTATCATCAATAAGAGATTTGATTCACCTTGGACTCAAAGTAATGACGCCTCTCTTTAAACCAAATTAACTAAGAGGTAAGCAACATGCAAAGTCACAATAGGAAAAGATAATATTTTAACTTCAATTAAAATAGAGTTGAACTAGGAAAGTAATCTCAAGAGATAAAATCTAATCTTATTAAAAATAAGATTAAGATAAAAATACTTTGAGTGAAAATAACTCAAACTAGGAATCCTATAATGAATGCATGATTTACCTGAAATCAGATTCCTCATATCGGTCAAGTCATGCTTTGGAAACCTGAGATTGAATGTGTTGCGCCAAAACGTCTAGTAAACGATATTCACACACTAACTCCCAACCTATGCTAGAGTCTAGGAAATGACAATACAAATTTCATACTAACAGATTCAGCAACACTTCTTTCATATATTTTTATTGTTATTATATAAAGTTGTATATAGATAATTGGGAAGAAAAACAACGATAAACCTTAACCCCAAGCTAATTAACCCTAATAATAAGTAAAATTTGTAACCTCAAACTATACCTAATAAGAAGAAAAACACGATGAAGAAAAATTATGGAAAAAAGAAAACCCAACAAGGTATTGATCAAAGAAAAAATAGGGAGCGTAAATTCACATATGGGAGGAAGGTTGTTTGTCTTATGCAAAGAGAAAAGGTAGGATGCATGCAGAGAGAAAACTAGCATATGATGAAATCTTAGGGGGGGGGGTGTGGTTGGATTTATTATGGTCTTTGTTATTTATACCTCTCACCTTAAAACCTACCAAAATTTATCACTCAATGAAATCATTCCAAATATATGACTTTTTGAATACACCTAGATTTTATTCTACTTTTTTATAATACTAATTGAATACACCCATATCTATATGTACTTTTTAAAATTTCATACAAGTTTGAATTGAATACACCCAGACTTGTATAAACTCTTTTAAAATTTGTATAAATTCAAATTGAATCCACTCAAATTTTTAAATCTTTTTAGATACTTCAAGAATCCTAATTGAATACAGTCATCAAAGTTTACTAGCTATGTGCTTGGTTGTTATTATCTGTTAACATATTTTGTTTAAAAACCTGAATAGATTGAAATTCGAGGAGAGTAAGCATAGTAAAGAGATTGTATGAAAGGTCCAAATTAATAATAATCAATATGCATAGTAAAGAGTTTGTTTCCTCTCCATGTAGTTCAATAGAAATCCATAACTTTTTTCGTCTTGATAAAATTCAAAAGTATATTATAAGGTACCAATAGAATTCTAATGGACCAACATGTAGGGCTATTCCACATTGGAACAGTAAATTTTATGGTCTGATTTCCATCAGATTCAAGGACGGGAGGACCCTGTCCATGCATAAATTAATGTCTGTCTACAATTATGATGAAGTCAGTGCTGAGACTGCTCACGAGAGAGTTACAGATATCACATTACAGATTCACACGGGGCTATGCATGCAACACATTTGCTTGTATTTCATTGGAATACAACTGCTCCAAGTCTGTCTTCTAGCAAAAGTGCTCTATAAAAGTGGATTAGGTTTCCAAAGTAAAACAAATATATGTAAGTTTAGCTTTCTGAGAGCATCAAACATGAAGGAATTATTTTTCATGTTTCATGTGCTCCTCCTTGTGTCGTCTATATTATCGTATAAGATTAGTGGCCTCATGCCCAAGATTAGAGATAATATGTTGAATGAGAGTAAACTTAATTGTAGGCCGGGAGAGAGCAATGGCGCTGGAGTTGGGAGTGGAAATAGACTTCAATATGACAGTAAGTGTAACGCTGCTGGTACTGAAAATGATTGCTGTGGCTGTGGAGATGGGAATGGTGGGGGAGGCTTGGGAGGTGGTAGTAGTAGTAATTTTGGCGGTGGACATGGTGGTGGAGGTGGTGTAGGGGGCGGAGGAGGTGGCGGCGGCGGTGGAGGGGATGCAGGGGGATCTGGCGGAGGTTTTGGCTTTGGGAACAATAATGAAAATAATGGAGGTGGTGGCGGAGGCGGTGGGGGTGGTGGTGGTGGTGGTGGCGGAGGCGGTGGGGGTGGTGGTGGTGGTGGTGGAGGAGGCGGAGGGGGTGGGGTTGGCTAAAGGAAGAGAGTCATGGATTTCCACAAAAGCTTGTAATTCAATTCAGAATTGTGGCATGTTTCTAGGATGCATTAGCCCAAAATAAAGCTTTTGAATTTTCAGATGTATTTTGTGAATTGATTTGCTAGACATGGTGACTCTTATGTTTATTATTTCATATATATCTGACATTGTGATATATATATTTTTTTATCATTAATAATAAGATCAGCCAATTTACTATATGTCAGATATGAATTGGCCTGACATTAATTTAAGAACAAACACACACTGTCGCGGGCAAGAACAAGCCGTACAGATGTTCACCATGCAAAACGGAAGTTTAGTATCGATCACATAACTATGGACTTTTATGTATTTCAAATTTCATTCTTTCTTTTATGATAGTTAATTGGCTTTTTTTCTTCCAAATTAGGAAGGGAATGAGGGAAATTCACACATACGAGTATCATGAAAGGAAGTTTGAATCTATGCACCATGGAAGAAAACTTGAACCTAAAACCACTTGGTAACACACTAAAAACCTAAACTATAATCCAACACACACCCGATGATAGTCGATTGCCATTTAACTCGCAGTAAGAAAATCATAAAGTTTATCTTGTTTGAAATTTAACGAAACATTGTTTTTGTGTTGATAATATTATGCTTGATAACAATCAAAATTATATTGTTTCAAGATATATATAGAACGCTGCATGTAGGGGACTGACTTAATAAATCAATTCATCATGACTAATAATTTCAAATACAATGAAGGCTAACTCCATTCAATTCAAACATAATTAGAAAACAATGGAAACAGATACAAACCAACCATTGGATGCATGCCTCAAAGAGACAACCCAACAATTACAACTAGAGATACCGATAATAATAAAATCGAAAAGACAAGGACAAACCCCTACTAATCAGACAGCTAGCCATGCATGCAAAGCAATGAAATATTTAGAAAAAAAAAGTGATCAAGGACATGGAAGAATGCCACCAGCTCCACCACCAGCTCCACCACCAGCAGCACCACCTACACCACCCACACCACCTAAACCGCCAGCTCCACCAGCACCACCTAAGCCGCCAATACCGCCAACTCCACCGGTACCGCCACCTAACCCCCCAAGACCTCCGTGACCAGCACCACCACCTAACCCCCCAAGACCGCCGAGACCGCCAGCACCACCACCAACACCTCCAATACCTCCTACTCCCCCAACACCTCCAATTCCACCAGCTTTGCCAATCCCACCACCAATTCCACCAAGAATAGGCATCACACCGCCAACTCCAGCCCATCCTCCCATCCCAGCAAACCCACCAAGGCCGCCATATATCAAGTTCTTCTTGTCACCAAGGCCAGTAGGTGACTCTGCCGTTGGTGCACTTGCATGCACAACCACGGTTTGCTCATTACGGCTAACATGGTCATCTCCAGGAACCTTACGTGCACTGCTTGCATGCAATAGTGCTGATGACAAAGCAAGCACCAAAACGACACGCCACATCTCCATCTTTGATCACTCTCTCTCTCTCTCTCTCTCTCTCTCTCTCTCTCTCTCTCTCTCTCTCTCTCTCTCTCTCTCTCACTTGGTGTTGCTCTCTTTGAACGAAACCTGAGGGGTTTGTGCATGGTTTATATAGGGGAGGGATGAAGAGGTGCGAAGGTAGGGGACAGTTGAGGGTAATTAATAAAGAGTTGTATTAATTAATGGAGAGGAGCATGCGACCTGGTGCTGTTTCAATGGTCTCGAGAAGGGAAATGAAAATGAATGAGAGCTTTGAATTTGGGATCAGATCGATTGAGAAGTTAGGTGGAATCAAAAGAAGAGAAAATTGAAGGAAGTTAATTAATGTCATGTCATTCTTGCGCATTGCCAAATTTGGTGGTGGTGTGACTTGTGCGCGTCTCTTGCAATGTCACTAGGCTACATTGGAAGATAAAAATGGCAGTTTGTTATGACTTATTTAAATGGTTGGGAATTTTTATTTAAAGAAAATTTATTTAATTGAATATACTTTAATTTTTTATTTGGAATTCTTAATTCAAAAAATGATTAAAAAGTCCATTATAAAAAACAAAATGTTAAAATAGTCCAGGGCCTCCAAAATTGGATAAACCGGTCCAGTTACTGTTCGACAGTAACATGAAAATAACTCCTACATCACTGTCGGACAGTGACACGAGAGTTGTTCAATGTCACTCTCAGTGAGTGACATAAGAGTTATTTCATGCTACTGTCGGATAGTGACTGGACCCGTTTGTCCAATTTTGGAGGCGCTTGACAATTTTGTCTTTGTGCCCTCTTATTTGTCATTATATGGTAAAGTGTAATTGATACTTAGGTGACGAGGGGTAAATTTAACGACACTTAATAAAACGCAACAAACTTCACACACTCTAGACCTTGACCAAATACTCTTATGACTAGTCAACTGTCAGATATGAATTATACCAAACAATAACATACACAGAGCATACCCAAATGTACTTGCAAGCCTAGAGAATTACTAGTGACAACCTAAGCACTCAGAAGGACCCGTCAATCTAGGCATCCCCTGTGCTAGTAACAACTATGGTAAAAGTGTGTGAAATCATCATAATCAAGTAAACACCAAACAACAGATAATGATGACTAGTCAACTACAAGAACACAAACCCAGAATTCATACGATGACTAGTCAACCACTAAGAACACAAACCCAGAATTCATACGATGACTAGTCAACCACCAAGAACACAAACCTAGAAAAATTACAGAGATGCAATTAGAAATTGTTCACCCAGAAACCCACCATTGGAAAAAACTGAGGATCATCAACTGACCAGACAATCCACTAAGTAAAAAAAGATTCTTACAAAGGAACACAAGCAAGCTCAAGAAAAACCTAGATCTATTTAGGAAGATGAGCTATACCTCCTTTGTGCAATCTTCTTCTCCAACTTAGCAAAGCTTGAAGCTCAGTTCTTCATTGCAATGGCAGCTCCTTCTCCAGCTCATTCATCCATGGCACCAGCTTGCAAGCTCTAACTTAGACAGAAACCAAAATTTGGATTCAAAGGAGAATGATCAATTTCTTCAAGAAACCATACTCTTGAAGAAATCAATCTTGAATCTGACCTAGATATATATGAGATAGTGTTTGATCTAGTAAGATGAGGTTTTCACATTTCGAATGCAGTTTTCAAAACATTTTGGAAAATTCAAAGATGAAAAATATGAAGGTTACACTTGAGGAAGAAGAGAAAGTTTACAGAGAAACTTTCCAAAACTTGCTTGCAAAAGTGACGGCTGCCAAATTAGGAATCCTTTGGCCTTTACACCCAAAAATTCCTTAGCTCTGAATCAACACATGACAGCAGAGAGAGAAAGGAGAATATGACAAAATAGTTGGTTATCTAGCTGGAAATCCTACAGAGCAAGGATGACTAGTCATACGAGAAACAGATGACTAGTCATCATTTTATGAAATCAATTTAATGCAATGTGATGCAATGCACAATTTGCCTTTGTCAATTTGCTTGAACCTCCATAGGATAGTTGTTAGTTAAGAACACCTAAAGAAGCTATTCTTAATCTAAACTTGAGCTTGATAAAAACAATACAAATCCTATTACAAAATTGTCAAGGGAAGCCAAAAGAAAAACTCAAAATGCATACATTAACATAAAGCCCCTTCTTAATTCAAATCCCTGCGTGCAAATATAGTTGCCAAACAAATAGATTTTGTTATAAAATTAAGAAAGAAAATGTTGAGAGAAGTGATATTCTAAAGATAAAGTTTCACAATGTATATTCACATTTCATCTTTGGTAGAGCCACCTATTTATAGGCTTAAAACACATTACAGGTTATGAGATCAAACACCATCATTTATAATATACATATAGGTTACAAGCACTAATTACATATACTTATTGCATAAGTTACATAGAATTCAAGGTTGGAATACTAAGAAGTATGGTGGTCATCCACCAACTCATGGATTTACAACACTCCCCTTTGGATGTCCACCATCAATGACATAGTTGCCTCATTAAAACATTGCTTGAAAAACTCAGTGGGACAAAACCAAAGTGAAGGAAAAAAAAATGCAAATTCTTTTGGATCATTGATACATGGTGTTGGACACGCTTATTATGCCTCGTTAAAACTTTGTTAAGAAAAACCACATGGGATTAAAACATGGTCTAATAAAACATTGCGCATATGTCCGATGTAGTAGAATTTCGATGCTCCCCATGATTGATAACTCCCCCTGATCTTTAATAACTTCTTGCATATAGACTTCGGAAGAGCTTTAGTAAAAAGGTTCTCTAGATTATCTTATGAAGGAATTTGTTTGACTCAAATCTCTTGGCTTTTCTGAAGCTATGGCACCCTTGATGAACACTTCTTTGATTTGAGCAATACAAGCAACATTATCTTCATACATGATCGTTATCACACTACTCGACCTGCTTTTCACTTTTCAAATGATCAAACTTGTTATCACGTCATCTTCAAATTATTCAAGTAGCAAATAAGGCTATACAAATTGCCACTAGCTCAACAAACTTCAATTTGAAGAGTTTTATTTGCTACAATTGGTGATGCTCTTACAAGTTAGGAAATTGAACACCATCATTTACAATATACTTATAGGTTACAAGCACTAATTACAAATACTTAGTGCATAGATTACATAAATACAAGGGTGTAATACTAACAGGTATGGTGGTCATCCACCATCTCATGCATTTACAATAAATTTCAAATTTAGGAGATTTGAAATCTATAGATTTGGAAATTCAATTCCAAATTCAAGCTTGCATCCAAATATGGCTAATTTAATCCAATTTATGGAATGGGGAATTTGAATTTCGGTGTAAGAGCATCTCCAACAGTAATACCAAATAAAACTCTTCAAATTGAAGTTTGTTGACCTACGTGACAATTTGAAAAGCCTTATTTTCTACTTGAATCATTGTTGCTCCAATAGACTCTTCAATTCATTTAATGCAATATCATGAAAAAGAATGAAAAATATGAAAACATGTGAAAAATGTCTATGTATTTATTTTTTTATTTTATTTTTGAAAGAACAATGTCTATATATTTATTATATAAAAAGAAAAAATGCATATTTTTAACATTTTCAAGGTAGGTTTTGTTTTCTCAAAGTAAAATTAAGGTAGGTTTCACTGCCCTAAGGCATAAGAAATCAATTACTTTCCCATGTTTGGTAAGTTCAGGTATGGGAAATCGTTGCCTGGCCCATGGGAAAGTAGGAGCAAAGTGAAGCCATCTTCCCAACTTGGGTTTTGTTTTCCCTCCTATGGGAAAGTTTGGGGGAATGAACTAACATTAAATACACATTTTTCATGACCATTTTGTCCCCATTAACAATTTAAAATTACAATATATTATTAAATGCATTCTTTTTTTATTTAATTTAATAAGGGTATAATTGAATATTTATACAAACTTTGTTTTCCATTCCTACTCAAAACAAACATGGGAAAGGAAATAAAGTGCTATTTCCCGATTACTTTCCTAGCATTACCAAACGTGGGAAAAGAATCTTCCATTTCCCGTTCCGTGAACCAAACAGAGCCTAAGGAGGCTAGATATCCACTTATTAGGGCAACTCTATAACTACCTTTAGAATAATGGGAAAAAAAATCTAGACAACAATAACCCAATAATAATGTACACAGAAGATATAGCAAGTGGTTGACAGTGAGATATGATTCCTTAAAAGCTTAGGAGAATTGAAGGATGAAAAAATATTGGGCATAATTGCATGAGTCAGCCTAGGATTATGTTTCCTTAATTAGATCTTCTCCTAATCATATAAATAACATCACCATTCACCATTGGCTCGTCATTGCAAGGAGTTGAAGTCAAAAGCAAAGAGAAATGGCCGGTGGGTATTTTTGCATCATTGCCAAGAAGTTAACCATTTTGCTGGTTGTCATCGCCATGGTCTTCTCTTCACTTGGTATGTTGAAATTTGGAAATCATATACAATGTTCGAACATTACTTTTCTTGCTACAAATTAAATTCGTTTTAAATTGCTAATTAACGATACGTTTTAATTTTTGGATTGTTTCAGGAATGGCCGACTTGCAATGTCGAGCAAAATGTGAAGACCAGCCTGATTGCAATGCGTTTTGCCAGAGAATTGGTTTCAAGGGAGGGGACTGCCAGCCACCACTTTATCAGTTTTGTTGTTGTGAAACATAATGTCTCACTTCAGAATTGTCAGTCTATATGAGGACTGGCTTACAAGGATACAGAATCTCATCCGAGCATTACTCTTCTGAATAAATTATTATGACCATTATGTGCTTAATCGGTCTACAAATTAATGAATAATATTCTGTACTCAATCATTTGCTTCTCCTTTTTTCTTCTTTTTTGTGATATAAGCAATATTCTTACTCTAATTTATTGATTCTGATTTATTTATTTATTTTGGTGACAAAAGCGATATTCTAAAGTACTCTAATTTACGAGAAACGGTTGAATTTGAGTGCAAGGGGATGAGCTCAATACCTTGGCCAACTGACCTACACCCACATATATGCATTTACTCTTTTTCTCTTAAAACAAAAATTAAAAGATTGATGCAAATGACCCACTAGGGTAGTGGTTTGGAGTATTTATTCCCTCAGGCAATGTCCTAGGTTCGAGTCCTATCATCCGTATTATGTGTGTGAGTTTAGTATATACTATCGCCCATCTCAATAGGAACTCCAAAAAAAAATGTCATAAATAAAATATTGATGTTCCTCCGTGATTTGCTTCTCAATTTTTTTTTTTGCGAAAGTGCTTCTTAATTTGTTTGAGCCCAATAAATAGTGATTTCGTTGCCATCTCCAATGCAACACAAATTCTCACACCCAAGTTCTTATATGTGGGTCTAAGATTTACAATTTGTTTTTGCCCACATCTCAACTCAACTCTTGAAATTTTAGAGATCCAATGGTTCAAAAGTTGTATCATAACTTCTAAATATATATATATATATATATATATATAATGCCACCGATCCGCTTCATATATATATAAGATTGACACCATGAAACAGAAGCACCTAACATTACTCCTGGAAAGTCTACCAGAGTGCCCAGAATAGAAGGCTCCATTTTGACATTAACAGCCATTCGACCACAAAATAGAGAAATATGCTCGATTTGTGACACAACATGTTAAGGAATTGAAATGTGGCAACATATTTACTTCCTCTTCCCCCAAGCGTTATATAAGTAATCCGAGATCAAGACCAACCAAAGATTTAACTACTCTCTGCAAGTGAACCCCTAACCATAAAAACAAACAATATGCAAAAGATGTCATCCTTGAAGCTCATGGCAAAGCTCTCTGCAGCCCTCCCAACCAAAACAATAACTGACAGAGGCGCTCTTACCAGCCTAAGCACTAGAGTTTTTGTCACTGCTGCCACAAGACCTTTGCAAGTGAGTTCTAATCCATGTTTCGAATTCCTAGCCAAATTGTTTTGGGATGCAATATCAATCTACAATACCTAGTACATTGTCGATAACTGATTAAATATTTTATGACATTGTCGGTAGCAGACTAGCAGTTATGTAGATTGGTCGATGACCTTGTAAAAATTATGGTAAGAACATCAAAATAATGCCCCTCTTTGTGTCACTGGCTGGACACTTGCTATTTGTTATAATAAGATTGGCCTTTTAAATGATGCTACCAGATAAATTTTTGTATGTCACGATAACCTTGCCACGTGGTGATTTCAACCTACCCAAAATTATAACACGCAATACTAACGTGTTTAAACTTTAGATTATAGTATTAATAAATATACACGTGTTATAATATGAGTAACATTGAAAATTTAATGGCTTTTATTGTATAATGGTGTGGATCATGTTATATATATATGTTATGCTGCTTAACCAGTTTTGGTAAACCGCAGTCCAAGAAGGAGGACGACGAGGCAGATGCATGTGAAAAGACGAAAGAAGCAGCAGATTCAGTCAAAGATGGAGCTAAAGAAGTGAGACATACCTGTGAATTCATGAGAGACACTATCGAAAAGACTACCAAAACAGTAAGGCTCAATACCAACTCACACAAACCAATCATGCTTGAATGAGTAGGTGCATTACGATTCCAGAGACAAATTAATGGATCGGTTTTTAAATGTAAAATTTGCTTGTGGGACTTGAATTTCTCTCCAACCTAAGAAAAAAAACCGAGTTTTTACGCTAACTAATTGACTATTTAGTTCACATCTTATAAGGATCACGAATGTGGTTTCAAATTCAAACTGTTTATTTTTCAAATACCTCAATGATCATAGTTTCTTGGAAAAAAAAAAATTTAGTCCGATTAGAAATGATTTAGCTATTTAATTACCATAATCGTAATTCATGTTTACAATAATCTCTCAAAATTTAACACAAGGGCCTTAATCCAATGAAGGGTGTGTGTTTTTTTTTTTTTTTTTTTTTTTTTGTTTGGCCAAGGAATAGGGTGTTTGTTTAACCCAAGATGTAAGCTTGCGTGATTTACCTTTGGGCCGACCTTATTAAAAAAACACGTTACTTGTTTATTTTGTGAGAGGTTGTACACTCTACAATGTGGTCAAAGAATGTAGTACATATATATGGTGGGGGAAGCCAAATCATGCCCTCTATGATAAGGCCATTTACAATTGAGTTTTAAGTTTTAACCTCCTAATCTAAAAATCCTAGTTCTGCTAGTGCCGGCAATGCACAAAAATAACAAAATATATACATGTTAACTTAAAACAATGCATGCATTTAGCACTTATCAATGTGAATTGAACTATGAAACCATTTGTTCTTAAACTTCTGAATGTTTTGGGAGATCAGATGACCAAAATGGCCAAAGATACGACAGAGAAGATATCTGAAACAGCAGATAACATCACAGACAAAACAAAGGGCACAGTCTCAGGCGCATGGGGAGTGGCCAAGAACACTACTGAGATTATCAAGGACAAAGTAGTGGGCAAGTGAAAAACAGAGCATGAAGACCATCAACAACTAATAAGTTAATTTAATCCACATTTTCTTCATGTATGTATGTTCCATCATTTGATGTGAGTTTCTTTATATACTAGCATTCTGAAATTACAAACCTGACTTATTTCGAAGAAATTAATTTTATTTTTCTTGTTTTATTTCTAGTCTTCCACATCTTTCCTTCTTTTTACAAAGCACCATGGCTCTCAACTCTGTAACAAAAGGCAAAAGCTAGTACTTGCATCTCATGTCACTTAATTTCCTTCTACAGTGTGTATAGATTCCATAGGATACTTATGCGTTTATATGTGTAAGTCAAGCGGCCAATATTAAAGCTTTGGGGAGCTTTTCTTGATCCTTGGTCCTTGCTTCACCCTGAAGAAGAGTATCAAACACCCCACTGTATTTCAGTATATCTCATCACTTTCTAATAATATATATATATATATATATATATTATATAAAATTGGTCATTCTGTTAGGGGTTGTGTTTTGCTGGAAATGTACAATGTGTTGGTTTTCAGTCTTCATTCTCTATGGGGTGTTTTATTTTCAGCTATTAAATTTGAATGACCATTTCTCATCAGCTGAACTGCAATTGAGTTCATAAAGCTGTTCGTGGGCTACATTGATTCTGTATATTTTCCCCAGTTTTTGCACCTTAAGCAGGACAGATTTTTGTTCCAGTAAAATGTTCACTCTCCAGACCATCTGGCTCTAAACACTGTTCCTGCTAGTAATTGCTTGATTCAGTGCATTATGGTGTCCCTGTTGTCAATCTCTTTTTGCTTTAAAAGACCCCTCACATAGGAATGGTACTCCAACTGTCAATCTTTGTTTGTCTTTTAAAAGCCCTTCACATGTACAAATAAGCTCTCTCTCTCTCTCTCTCCCCCCAACAACAAAAAAAAAAAAAAAAGTAGTAACTAGTGTAAGCGTTCATAGATAATAATGAGAGTCAGATTGGCAAGACTGGTACAAAAAAGAATTGTCCTAGCAGTCAGTACAGTAAAGGCATGAAAATATTTATATCTTTCACTGGCTCTGGGGAACTAAACAATAAAAGATTGCTTAGCACTTAGAAATCATTTGAATTTAGATGCCCATAAGAATGAAAAATCAATTAATAGTGCAAAGTCTTTTACAAGACACACAGTGTCCTTTTTCACTGCAAGTGCAGAAACTCCTTTTGTGCAGAAAGCCCTGGCTGTATAAAAGCAGCACATCAGTCTAAGATCTTTGGGAAGGTACACTGAGTGCATAATTGGAAATCAATTCTTTCATACTTGTTACCAACTAGGGAATGAGGAAAAGTGAAACATAAAGTCCAGGGCCCATTATTCTCTCACACATGCAAGAAATCAGAGAGCCAGCTCATTTTGGGACCTACCCAACAGAATTTCAATTGGTCAAATCATGAATGATCTTTCAGTCTCCTCTCCTGGAATGTTAACTAAGATTCTATCCTTCCTAGAGAAATCTCTGGTATGAATTGATTTGATTATCTGTGTCCAAAATATGAATGATTTGAGTACTAACAACTAATGGCTTTATTTTGCTTCTCTGCATTTGATTATAACAAATATCAACCTTTTCTTCTTTACATCAATAACACAAAGAGTTTTGAAACTGAAGAAACTAAAAACATCACAATCTTCTGCTCTGTATAACTTATTACTTGAAACCCATTTTTGCACTAGAGGAAGATGAGTAAAGTAGTGTGGATGCTGAAAAACTTGTGTTGTTGCTTTTGCCAAACAAGCTTTTCATTGCTGCTGCTGATGATGATGCTAAAACTCCAGTAGAGTTCTTATTTTCTCGAGCATCATTCGCCGGAGATCCTTTGAGAAGCACATCAACCTTGGCATATTCCTCCCTTTCATGTTTAATTTCCTTTAGCATTGCTGCCACATCTTTCATAGTTGGTCTTTCATCAGGGGTTGAGTTTACACATAACAAGGCTATGCCCAATGCTTGCATCATTTCCTCTATCTCTGATTCTGGTCTAGATAGTAGGCTTGGGTCAAGGACTTCAATGCTTCCCCTCTTCTGTCTTACCCAATCCACTACATGTAGCCCATCTGGTATTGTTGGATCTATTGGCTGCTTCCCTGTCAAGACTTCCAACACAACAACACCATAGCTGTAAACATCACTCTTCTCTGTGATCTTCATCATGTATCCATATTCTGAAAAGGAGCAGTGAAGTTAGCTCAAGTGGCTAATTGGCTTAAATCATGCATTTATAAGTGATCATTAACATGAAAATCATGTGATTGTTTGTGAATTTTAAACAAAATGGCATAACAAAGTAATCAAGTTAAGAGAAACATGAAACTAACTGTATGTGATTAGAGAAGAACACTTACCAGGAGCAATGTACCCATAAGAACCAGCAACTGTGTTGGAGGACCGAGCAAAATCCCCATCGTCAATGAGTTTGGCTAGGCCAAAATCAGCAATGTAAGGCTCAAACTCAAGGCCAATGAGGATGTTATTTGCCTTGATATCCCTGTGAACAATTGGAGGAACACAATCATGGTGTAAATAGGCAATGCCTTGGGCAGCTCCCAACAATATTTGGTACCTAACTTCCCATTCAAAGGCATGTCCTGTCCTCTCATGGAGGATACTGCCCAAGCTTCCATTGGGCATGTAATCATACATGAGCAATCTTGTGTGCTTGTTCCAGCAACAACCAAGGAATCTAACAATGTTCTTGTGACGGATTGAGCCAAGTGTTTTGACCTCCGCTGAGAATGAATCGCGAACTCCACATTTTTCATCATTACAACATCCATTGTCTGCAGCAACTGTTGTTGGCCAGAGCTTCTTCACTGCAATGACTTCACCATTGTCCATATCAGCACGATAAACAACCCCAGAACACCCTTTTCCTATTACATTGGCATCCACTAAGCATCTAAGCACTTGCTCAACTGAGAAATTTAGCTTCTGGAATGGAGTAAATTGCCAAGCCCATGAGTTCCCCAATTCTGAAATCATTGTCGTCTCTAATATCTCTTCGAGCTCTAATCACTGCAATGATCCCCATAACCACCATTGCAACTGTCAGGGTGATCAGCAATGCAATTGCTAGCTTAAGCCTCCGTGACCGCCTTATGTCATTTTGATTTCTTGCTAGTCCTGTGTTGCTAACATCACTCAAAAAACACGAGTCCCGGTTGGAAGAACAAAGGCCTTCATTTCCAGCCAAGTCCATTGGTGATAACTGTCTGAAAAGTTTGTTGTCTGGAAGATAGCCGGTGAGCTTATTGTAAGACACATTAAGAGAGACAAGATTATCAAGCCCAGCTAGTGGACTCAAATCTCCATCAAGCTGGTTATGTGAAAGGTCTAGTATGGAAAGCTTGTTGAGTGCTGATATTTGAGGTGGGATGTGCCCAGAGAGTCCATTGCAGCTCAAATTTAAAGCAATTTCAAGGGCTTCAATCCTACCAAGTTCCACTGGAATGCTTCCAGTGAGCTTGTTGCTGCTAAGGTCAAGCAATTGCAGACTCAAACACAGGCCAAGCGATGAAGGTATTGATCCAGAGAACGAATTCCTGCTTAGAATGAGCTTGTTCAATGAAGCAAGACGAGCCAAGCTTGCTGGTATCTGGCCAGAAAATTGATTAACTGATACATCCAAGACTTGAAGTCCTGATAGTGAGGACAATGTACTAGGCAATGGACCGTCTAAAGTATTGTTGCTGATGTCTATCATTTGTAGCTCTGTGCAACTCCCAATCTCATCAGGCACTGACCCGGAAAGGCGATTCCCAGACAGATCAAGAAAGTTCAAGCTCCTAAGGTCTCCAATAGCTCTAGGAATCCCTCCAGCGATCCTGTTGTCTCCAAGCCTTAGCCGAACAAGAGAGCTGCAGTTACCAATATTTGGTGGTATCGAACCCGAAATGTCATTGGAAATCAAGAGAACCTTAGTGAGGTTTTTCAGCTGAAACAAGCCAGCAGGTATGCTACCAGTGAGTGAATTGTGGGACAAATCTAGTGCTTGGAGATTACTACAACTAGCCAAACTTGCAGGAATGCTTCCTTCAAGCTGGTTTGCCCAAGCAAAGAACACAGTCATCTTTGACAACATCCCAATCTCTGATGGAATCAAACCGGATATCTGATTAGTATCAAGCTGCAACTGCATCAAGTTTGTAAGATTGGAAAGATTCGAAGGAATCGAACCGGTGACATTGTTGTCACTAATCATGAACTCCTCAAGCTTTGAAAGCCCTCCTAAAGATAATGGTATGGTACCAGATAGAGAATTTAGAGAAAGATCAATCATCCTCAAGCTACTACAATTCCCAATCTCCTCTGGGATTACCCCAACAAGACTATTCTGCCACAACATTAATTGATCCAGCTTCTGCAGCTTACCAAGCTCTGGTGGAATTGAACCAGACAAACTATTTTCATAAAGAAACAAGTTGACAAGCTCAGAACAGTTACCTATTTCAGGAGGAATTTCACCAGAGATCATAGTGGTATATATGGACAGTGTCTGAAGCTTGCTAAGCCTACCGAATGAGGCAGGCAAAGAGCCGGAAACTTGGGTATCAGCCAACCCCAAAACAGTCAAATTGCTGCAGCCTCCAAGCTCCTCTGGGATTCTCCCACTAATGTATTTGTTCCCTCCTGCTCTGAGCACTTCAAGACTTGTAAGCTTCCCAAGTTCTGATGGAATAGACCCGGTTAGTCGATTATCGAAAAGCACAAGGTTTTTCAGGCCAATACAGGTGCTTAGCTCAACTGGGATTTTCCCAGTGAGCTGATTGGAGTTCAAAATCAAGTCTTGGAGATTTTGAAGCTTCCCAATGCTTGCAGGGATAGAACCCACGAGAGAATTTGAGCTGAGGTCAATGACTTGTAGCTCAGTGCAGCCACCAATGTCATTGGGGATGGTTCCAGTGAGATTGGCACCAGAAATGACAAGTTTGTGAAGGGAGACAAAGGAAGAGAGATTGGATGGAAATGGAAGCTCTAGAGGGACAGATTGGATTGTGATTTCTGTGACAAGGCCCTTTGGAGAGCATGTTATGGAGGACCAGTTGCACGGATTAGAATCAAGGATATTCCAGTTAGAAAAGAAAGAAGGTGGCGGTGAAGTAGAAGAGTGGAGCCAAGAGAAGAGAAGAGAAGCTTCATTGTTTGTGGCAAAGACAAAGGGAGGTGTGTAGAGAAGAAATAGTGTGAGACACAGAAAAACAGAGAATGAAGAAGAAGAAGAAGAGTAGGAGGAGTTGTAGAAGAAGGAGAAGGATTGCCTCGAGCTGGGCAGCATTGTAGACATTTGCCTCAATTTCCAAACCTTTCTTCTCGGGTTTGCATCATTTGGGTTTTGCAGCCTCTCTCTCTCTCTCTCCTCTCTCTCTCTCTCTCTCATCTCTCTCCTCTCTCTCTCTGTGTTTTTGCTTTCTTGCTTTGAACTCAAACTCAAGGACCAGTACACTAGTTTTCTACAACTATACTATACAAAGCGAAGCACAGAACGCAAACAAACGCACCTTAACCAAATAAACAAATCAAAGAAATGAAAACCATTGCCTTGAGATCAACAAACACTCTGCACCACCACCACCCCACACCTTATGCCTCTCTCTCTCTCTCTCTCTCTCTCTCTCTCTCTCGCTCTCTCTCTCTCTCTCAATAGAAAATTGAAGGGGTTGCTAAGCTTGGTGGGTTCACGCACAGGTTAAGGGAGACACTAGATGGCAGAGACCCATGAATTTATATATTGTATGTATTTCTTCTCTGTATGCATGATGAGAGATGAGCTGCTTATTTTAATGTAGTTTTTGACTCCATTAGATTAAAAGTGAGGAAAGCAGTTAGCTCCAACTCCAAGCCAATGTCATTTTTCTCTCAATCTGAAGCCAACCATTATTTAAATGCACAAACAGACACTCTGCCTAATCTCACACTCACACATTTGGTGATTGAAAGCTTTTCTGGGCTTCAGTTACATTTCAATCTTCAACTGGCCTTTTCTCTGAGTCTCTGATCTCTACCATCCATTTATAGGATCCCATTTTCTCTTTTACCATGTTTCCAAAATGAACGTTTTGTTTACATGTTTTTGCTATATAAATTGTCGTGAAAAATGAAGATAAAGTTGCACTTGCTATTTTATTTCAGGCAGTGGTCCATGTACATGATAATCTTATAGGGTACTTTTTTCTTTGTTTTATTTTATTAGGGAACGCAATTATGGTTCAATTTTAGAAAATGAACACTATTTGCAAAGAGGTCGAACATCTATAAAAGGGAATAGATTACAAGGGACCTTACCATTTATTTTAGAGCAATGCTTTGCATTGGATTAGGACTAGATGAAATGTTCAAACTATTCTAAACTTATTTTAAATTAAATAAAAAAAAAAAAAAAAAAAAAAAAATCATTTTCAGTCTTTCCTTTTCGGGTCAAGTTTGATTCGCGAGAGTGAGAAGTGCATAATGGTTTAAATTATTTTAGGAAAAATGTACATGCCTGGAAAAGCATTGGACATGGATTAAATTAACCTATATCCTAATTGAATCCAATTGAAATTCATATCATAAACATATTGTTAGTTTTAAAATATAATCGGTGAACCGATAATATAAAATTCGAAAACAAGGCTTAAGTAAAAAATAGGCTTAAATGCAAAAATGGTCCCTGTGTTTTATCATGTTGGCCAATTTAGTCTATGTGTTTTCAATTTGGCCAATTCGGTACCTAAGTTTAGGACCGTTAGCCAATGTTATCCCTTCCGTTAAATTTTTGTTGAAAAAATTAAAAACTATTTAAATATTAATTTTAAAAAATAACTATTTGAATACAAATTAAAGTTCAATAAATAAGAGCAAAACTAAAAAATCAAAATGTAAAACAAAAAAATCAAAAAAAGAAAGACACCAACTCTAATCCCAACCACCGCCACCACCTTCAATCTCACCACCAGCCACCATCTCCAAATCCCAGCCACAATTCACCACCCTTCTCTCTTCTCTCTCTCTCCCAACAACAACCCACCACCTCAACTCCGATCAACCTCACTATATATATATATATATATATCTCTCTCTCTCTCTCTCTCAAGAACAATCCTTACCTTCACGTTTCTGAATGTTTCGGTAGGTAGTCTCCTGTGGGGATTTCCTTGTATTAGTTTTTGGTTTCGTTTGTTTCTCTCCCTCTTGGTCTTGCCCCTCCGCTTATCACTCTCCTTCCCACCTCTCCATTCGTTGGGCAAACCATCCCCTCCCCGACAACATTTTTTTTCTTCAAGTTTCTTGTTTTCTCATGTTATGATTTACTTTTCATGAATTTTTAATAGTTTTAGATTAATTTTAAAAAGTTTTATAGGTTTTTAAAAGACACAAAAATGTTTATTATGTGTATTTAACAACAAATTTAACGGAATGGACAACATTGGCTAACGGTCCTAAACACAGGGACCGAATTGGCCAAATTGAAAACACAATGACTAAATTAACTAAGGTAGTAAAACATAGGGATCATTTTTGCATTTAAGCCTAAAAAATATAGAAACCCTAAATTCTATAATATTCTTAAAATTTAATTGACAACAGAACTTGAGACATCTTCCAACATTTAAAAATGCTAGTTATATTCTCATTTCTACTTATTTTTTTCTCCCCCCCCTTCAACTTCCCATCCATCAAACAATGTTTTGTTTAGGATTATCTATGTGATAGGTGGAAAATTGTTGAGTCATCTATACATTATCAAATAAATGGATTAATATAATATTTCAATTAAACACTAAAATGATAACGATGATAATCAAATGATTAAACTATTTTCACTGAAAATCAACCAACTATTTTCAGTAAAATATGATGGCATGAGAACAAAGTGCAAGATTAGAATGAGAGAAAATAAAAGGAGAAGATAGTAAACATTCTTCAAATACATTAGGATGATTGAAAACTATTCAAGTAGAAACATTTTTGTTTATATTTTACATCTCATTTTTTGTTTTTATTTTTATTTTTTAACTTGGGAAACTAGGGCCTTTGTTTTCTTTCCTTATGCTATTTAACCAACTTTAATTTGGTAATTCTATTTAAAGTTTGATGGGAATGTCCATGAAATAACTAATTTGAACCAATGCCATTTAAAGTTTGTTCTACTCAATTCTAAAGAAAGAAAGAAAGTTGGTTCTACCCATAAATGGGTCAACTGAAATCCAAATGAATCTGCAGGCAGCTTCATAAGTGGGTCAAACCAATTCAATCTATAATTTTATGGGCAGGCATGTAGTCAATCCATGAGTCCTTCAGTAAAAACTGGTTCAATATGTTTAGAATTTAATGCAGGGGAAGTCAATCGTATGGTTCTTAGACAATACAAGAGAAACAAGATCCCTTGCATAGCAATTCTCCATTGGTTTTATACCATAAAAAGGTTAAAATATTAGACAAATAGCAGAGGCATGATAAAAAATAAAAAAAACCTCATAAATCCCATGCAGTCCTCTAACTAGAGAAACACTTGTGTTGTACAGGAATAACATTATTTTGCTATCCCTGGTTAATCGCAGCATAGCACACGTGATAATTTTTTCACGTGACAATCTATGATTGGTTGGGAATAGTAAAATAGTGATATCCCCGTTATACAAGTTTTTCTGCTCTAATTATGCCTATGTTGAGCACATAACAAAGATTGGTCTTCAAGATCTTAGACCAGTCCTGACTAATCACAGTCCTCCTCAGCTTCAATTTCACCACCAATGCAACATCACAACATGTAATTCTTCACAAAAAGAAAAGGAAAAGAATAGTTTTAAATCTAAGCAAACAACAAGATAATGCAATTTAAGAACGGTTATTGAGTTTGTGCCAATATTAATACAAGTTTGATGGGAAATTCTGTGACAATTTCTGAACATGTATATTTATGCATGTGAATTGTAAGAGTAGAGGGTGGAAACGATGATGGTAGATTGCTAATTCAGCAAGATTGTGCTACACAAAGCCATGCGCCTTAAGCGTGACTTAACATTTTGTATAAATTATTAGATCTTAATACGTGTTAATTCACGCGCTAATCAAGTCGGTATGGACAGTATGTAGTATTTTTTTTCTTTAAAAAAAAATAATAATTCTGACAAATGTAAGGGTATCATCCTTTGAAAAATGGGATTAGAACAGGTTGCCGTTAGATCCAATGGCATTTTTGGGCTGTGCATCTTCAGCATTCAGTATTTTACACAATGAGCACAGAGTTTTTAATTGTGATTTGTGAATGCTCTCAAGAATTCAAGACTTTCTGAAGCATGCCTATTTTAATATATATAGCTTAGAATAGTATTGCTTAGTTTATACTTTCAATATTATATTTTGGAGATATATTTTATGCGGAGAAAAACTTGTGAGCAGCACTTCACAACATCACGTGAGTAGCACGTAACTATATATGAGATACGTGGTATACAACGTTTTACCTATCTTATAGGAGTCACCAACAACATTCAATCAATGCGGCCCCACCTAGATTCATCAGTCAAATTTTACTTTCTACCAGACTTTTGTTAATGGGTTTAAATCTTTTTTTGCCCTTCCTTTCTTTGAATAAAAAGATCCTAAACCATTATATGAATTTGTCTAAGTACAACATTAGTTTTTAGTTTAGCTATATTTTTTTATGTTGAATATATCTTAAGTTTAGTTCATGTCCCATTATAATAAAAGAAGAGCACGTTATGCATAATGCTTAATAATATTTTCTAAATACGATGAATAAAACAATGCAAAGGAATTGAAATATAAGTCACGAGACTTGTTTCCTTCTTAAAATATATTGGATTAAGAAAATATGTGAGAGATCATGTGGCCTAAATATCACATTCCACAATCATGAAAAGAAGGAAAAGAAAAAGAAAAGATAGGATGGGAAGTGGGTTTGAAAACAAAACCATATGTGATAAAATAATTAGGGTTTTTGGAAGGAAATGGGTTTGAGTGGATTGGTTTTGGTAGCTTTAACTCAGCCCTTTAGCAGAAGACAACAAGACCAAAGACACATCCCTCATTTTGAGGCCAATCCACGTGAGAATGGGGAATCCAAATATTTCTTCCCCTAATTTCTTTCTGTTTTTCTGACCAAACCAAACCCCCTTTTGAACAAAACACTGTGTTTAATAATAAACTAGTACGGTCACAAATTTTATAGTAATTTATGAAATGTTATATTATATACTACAACTATATAGTATAGTGGATTTAATTTATTTTATATGACCATAAAGTGACAGAAAATAAAATAAAGGTGAACGGCGCTGCTGCTTGAAGGCCCCTATTTTAAGGGTCGTGACTTTGGGAACTTCCCTAGTGGAATCTATACACGTTGGGTTTCTGTCGCCACCTCACAAATCTTTTCAAAGCAAATATGTAAATTAGAATATATACATATAATTGGAATCTATACAAGTTCACAACTTCAAACTGAAATGAAGAAGTTAGTAGAGTTGTTATTGATTTTCAGATATGAGGATCAATTCTTTCTAGTAATCTTAAGTTCATAATTTATCAGATATGTACGTCAACTCAAATATGATTACATACATTAGTCGTTATTGAGTCTGCCTTTTGACACAACTAAATAAACATATTGAATTAAATTGATATGTACTCGACATGAACACAAAATGATATGACACAACATAATTGAATTATGACCCTTACTTTTTCTGATATCTTCATCTTGATATGCAAAACTAGCCAGCCCATGAAAATATATCTTCATGTCTTTTCCCCAACCACCAAACTGAAGAAAAAGAAGATGATCCCAATTTCACTTGAAGCAAAACTCTAATAACTTTTTTAGCTGCCTAGCTAGTAGCACTAGCCATAAATGGCTATCATGTCAACTAACAAGCTAAAGCTCAGTTGTGTGGAGGGACTGAAAAAACATGAGAAAAACTCTCATGGAACTAGGATATCAAAATAGTGCTAAGTTGGTCGGAGATAGCAAAACAATGTCATCCCCGATACATGTAAGTTTTTTTTTCCAACCACGGGGATGAGTTGTGTGAGTAATTTGTGACATGACCTTCCACATGAATTTGTATCATTATTGAGTTTCAATAGCGTACCTACAAACAAGATCAAAGCACAAGCCACAAAAGCTTTTCTGCTCCTTTCCATGTTGCTTTTCTAAAAGCTTTCAAAAATGGTGACACCAAAACTATGAGCATGCATGTGTCTTCTTGGGCTTGATTTATATTGGACTCGGAAGCCTGTGATGTTTGGGCTCACCAAAAAATACAAGAAAAAAGAGCAAAGTAGTTTCTAGCTTCACCTAATAACTTTAATCAATACACCAATGCTCTAACGGGATCTAGATATGTCTGGAATTTCCATTGAATCCCTTCATTCTTCAACAGGACCAGAATTGGTACTCAGGGATGCCAGGTTGCTGGTTTCCTCTAGGCTCATGTTGTTGAGAACTGACATTAGATGAGGCCCTATCTCTTAATCATTGGATCAAATTGTTTAGTTTGATCGAACGATTAAGAGATAAGACTTTATCTAAGGATCTTAGATAAGGCCAACATTATAGAATGACTCGTTATGTGTGACTTAATTTCCGATTTCGGTTGCATGCATTTGAATTGAGGATAAGCATGTTGGGTTGGGCCCATCTTTTACTTATCTAATTTGGGCCTTCCAAAGTGGACATGCCCAACGTGCAGTTGACACCCAAGAAAAAGGCCAGATCCCCAAATTCATGTTTTGGTCACATTTTTTATTCAATTAAAAGAAGGAAAATTGTATGCTCACAATTCACAATTGACATGTTAAAATGTTATTTGTCAAAACTATGATGTTAATGGTTTTTGGAGTCTCGTCGCATGCAAATTGCAATAGGTCGTCTCCCTCGGTTGATTCCACGAGACATCCTTTTTATATTGCACACAAAAGAGAATTGGCGTCCCTCCCTTGCACCCTTGACTTGAGTCAAAACCCAAAATAGCCAAAGGGCCTCTGAGACCGAAGTGATCAGCTGACGATAAAGAAACAAGGCGGGAAAATGGCGCTGCTGGGAGCAAGAGGAAGTGGGCTGGTGCTGCCAAAGCCGGTGACTTTTGTGACTGGCAACGCTAAGAAACTCGAAGAAGTTCGTGCCATCTTGGGCTCCTCCATCCCCTTTCAATCCCTCAGGCTTGACCGTACGCACAAATTGCAAACCCTCTCCTCCTCCTCCTCCCCCTTTTTCTCTAATTTTTTAATTTAATAACTTGGGTTTTTGTTTTTTTGGGTTTTGGCAGTGCCAGAATTGCAAGGCGAACCGGAGGAAATCTCCAAAGAAAAGGCTAAGTTGGCTGCTCTTCAGGTTCTTCTTCTATTTCAATCTTATATATATATATATATATATATGTACCCATATATGCATATACATATATATTTTTTATAATGTGAATGATGCTATTGTATGGATTGGTAGGTAAATGGTCCTGTTCTTGTGGAAGACACTTGCCTCTGCTTCAATGCCCTCAAAGGTCTACCTGGTTAGTGCTCCCTTCTTATTTCTCTTTCGCTCTCTGTATTTTGCTTGATTTTTCCCCCCCTTCTCTTTTTCTTTCTGTATATTGGGATTATTTATTTCTGATGGGTGCTTTTAAATTCAATGCAGGACCTTACATGTAAGTTTTTCATCTTGCTTGCTCTCTCCAGGTGTTGTTCTATTTACCTGCTTTCTATTTTACTTTAATTTTTAGTAAAGTACAGATTTAAATTAATTTAATTACTACCGGTTCATGTTATTAGTAGGTTTTATGAGTGAATACTAGTGATTGGTTACTGTTTAACTTATTTTCTAATTTCAAAGAATGAATGACATTCAATGGATGACACTATTAGAGACATTCATAACCTATCCCCTAATGATCTTGCGTGATATTGATAGTGGTAAAAATTTGGGCACAAACCACCTCTTTCTAGTATAGCTTTTATTAACAGAGAAATTTGATACATCATATCTTTGGTTCGGTCTATTAGCAGAGGGTAAGAGGTTTTATGGTTGGTTGGTTAGTTTGTCATGACTCATACCCAAAGGCGGGGATGGAATCAATAAAGAGGGTTTAAAGATTGAATCTCTGGAATCTAAATAGGGGATTTCCCTTGACGTATACTCTATATTTCATATTGTTATAGATTGTTCATTTGGTTGTGTGTATTGTTATTTGCATTGGTCATTTGGTTGTGGTGATTAATTTTTTTCCCCCTTGTTTTCCCTATTCATTTTGTTTATTATTAAATGTGTAGGCCTCTCTCTTTCATGATATGGTGTTTGGAACTTGGAGAATTCTGTTCCTTTTAAAAAAAATATATATATATAAACTTTTCCTTCACTCTCTCCCCATTCTTATTTTACAAATTTATAAATAAACCCAATTCTAGACATGTATTTATAAAAAAACCCAAGCACTATTTAAACATAGAAACACACCCAAAATCAACCCCAAAGTCAACTTTTTGGGTGTGTTTATAAATGGGTTTTGAGTGTGTGTAATGATGAGTTTTGGGTGTGTGTATATGTTTAAATAGTGCTTGGGTTTTTTTATAATTTCAACCCCCATTTTGGGTGTTTTAGTGAAACTCCTTATTTTCTCACTTCTTGTGGTATTTGATGCTTCATGTTGTTTTCTGGTGCAAGATGTTAATTTCATGCATCTTGAATTTGATGACAGTGCTTATACTACAAAACATTTTATGCTTATCTTTTCTACTAATGTAAAATAACCATTTTGTGGCATTTATGGACAATTTCTTTCTTACCCCTCTGTTAGTCTGGCTTTATGTTTTTTTAATATTGAAAGGCTACAAAGTATTCTGCTTAAGTGCTTGATCTATTAATGGTAGGTTCTTATCTTCTTTTTTCTTCAGGCTTCAACTTCTTGCTAACCTCCCCAACACACATCCCTTTCTTTTCTTCTTCTGTTGCCTAGTTCCATTTACCCTCTAGTAGATTGATCAACATGTGTTGAACACTTCTGCAATAGCATACATTGATAACTTTAGAATAATTCTCTCTCTCTCTCTCTCTCTCTCTCAGGGCTAGAATTTGTTTACCTGTTTTTGTAGAAATTGTAAAGCATGGCTTAGACTCTCCATGCTTTCCCTCAAAGTTTATTATTAATTGTTATATCATCATTTAGAACTTTACCTTTTCAATGTGGGATATACTTGGAGAAAAGGTGTTGTTTGTCTAAAGCACTTAGCCATTTCAAAGAATTGTAGCTAAATATCGGTAACTCTTGATCATGAAGATATATTGGATTGCTGAAGGATTAGTGCAAGCTGAAAATTCCAAGGTGAGAGAGAGGTGAAAAATGTCTTATGGATGGAATGTTGAGAGAAAATAAAATAGTATTTTTATCTTTACATTTGGCTTCAAAAGTTTTCAGAATTTGAGAAAGTAGTATTGTTGTTGCTGCTGCTCCTATTATAGTTGCGAAAATAATTGGAGTCTGAGGGAACAAATCCTTGGTGAGCACATTATGATTCTGTTCCAATTTTTATGCCTTTCAATCCTTTATCATATTTAGGAATGCATACCTACTTTTCTCTGGCCTTTGCAGCCTGATGGCTATTTGTTATTGCTGCTTCTCTCTGTTGTTTCATTAAATTTGGCAGTTTATTGTAACTTTTCTTGTTGCTGCTCCTTTTCAGCCTGATGGCTATTAAAACTCTGGTTTGAAAAACATAAAGGCATTATTAACAAGTAACAAATATGTGATCCTAATATTCTTTACAACAATGCAGCAAGTGGTTCCTGCAGAAGCTTGGACATGAAGGTACTTATCGTGCACTTTCCTGTTTATTTTTGTTCCCAATGCTTCTTTATTACTTTTTATGAAAATGTTTGTGGTTCTATTTTTCTCAAATGTGTCTTTCATTTTCTTTAGGTCTCTACAATTTGTTGATGGCATATGAGGATAAGTCAGCTTATGCATTGTGTTCCTTCTCTTTTGCCACTGGACCTAGCGTTGAGCCTATTACATTCCTGGGTAAAACTCCGGTATGTAGAGAGTTAGTTTCTAATCCAAATTGTGTCTGCTTTTTTCTTTTCTTTTATTCTTTTGCTATATTCCCCTGTAGAAGGTTTGTATACTACCTATGTTTAACATTTTGAACATGGTTTTGGGGCCATCATATGCCGCTTGATTGTAACTTCCGCCCAAGAAAAATGTTAATGTTCTTAGGTTATATGACAACATTTTTCTATTCAGTTAGAATGACATCCAAGTAAAACATGCAAACTGTTGACTCATCAGGCAAATATTGGAATTTGAAATTTGAAATTTGTGTCCTTTTTAAATGAAAAAGAATATTAGTTGTTGGAAATGGTTATACAGGATGGCTAACACTTGCTAATGTGGCACTAACATGCAATTTGTGGATGAATTCTAGGGGAAAATAGTTCCGGCAAGGGGACCGACCGATTTTGGATGGGATGCAATGTTCCAACCTGATGGTTACGACCAAACGTAAGCTCATCTTTATTACTTCTCAACTTTTACTGTCTTCCTCCGTGGTTCATAGTAATACTTGCAGCTGAATTTCGTTATTTGTCTTGCTGTAGTTATGCCGAGATGCCGAAGGAAGAAAAGAACAAGATTTCTCATCGCTCCAGAGCTCTTGCACTGGTGAAGTCTCACTTTGCTGAAGCTGAGTACACTTTCCAGACTAACTCTCTGTAAGAGTGAATTTTCCTTATCTTGTTGCAACATAAGACGCTTCCAAAGTATTGCAAGTTTTTTTCTATTAGTAGCAGCGTTTCCAGTTCCCTGTAGGAGAGGATAGTGTGGAGGAACAGCTTTCTCGCATATGCTATAAACTTTTATAACAGTGATTACACACATTTCAGACAAAAGTATTTATGAACTAGATATAGAAAAAGAATAACTCTATTTCGAACCATTTCAGACAAGTATTTCTGTTCTGCCCCATATAGTGATGCAATCTTTAAGCAATGTGAATTACCTATTTTATACTTACTGCACAAGAAACACTTGAAATAACTTGCTCTAGCTTTATGCTGCACCAAAACACTTGAAATGACTTTGCCGAGCTTTATTGTCAATCAAAAGCATTGCCGATTGATCATCCGAATTACTGTTCATGGTGTTCTCTTACATTGTACATTGACCATTTTACACAGACAGCGTTAGTTTCCATTCTTTATTTCCTTTCTCTGAAGTTCAGCTGCAGCAAGTCTACATATTGTTGGTTGATCTTAATAGGAAAATCAAGACCGATTAAAGTAGTGAGAGACTTACTGTTCAAAACAGAAGGCACGTTTCCCAAGTTTTACTTTTCAAAGCCTAAGACAAGTTTCCCAAGTTCTACTAAAACAAGATCTTTAAGAAAGATTTGGAACCTGTCGTTGTCATTCGGCGTCTGCTAGGCAGCATTCAGTGTATGTTCCAAATCTAGAGTAGGGTTCGGTGTTTGGAGAACCAGTAAACTGCAACTTACAAAGTACTTAACGAGTTAATTTGGACCACAAGTAAGATTGGGTTCACCATTAACCATTTGGATACCTTATTTTTTCTGCCAAGCAATGCTCAAAGCCAATCTTACACAACTCCTACCAAATAGGGCTGCCTCATTCGTCTTAAATTATGCTCACTAACAACTGTAGTATACGCAAGTAAAATACGTCAAATGCAGCGACTTGTTCTTAACGGTTGAAAAACCTCGTGGCAATCGAAAATGCTATACGTGGGTATTACAAATACTTGTGTTGTCATATTGCGCATTCGGACCACACATTTAGACAAAAATCAAAATGATCAACTGGTCCATATTTATGATTGGCAATATAAAATGCTTACGCTTATGATTTGCGTATATGACACTTTGTTCATCTCACCCATGTTCCTCCTAGTCACTTCAACTATTTTGGCTATACCCTTCTCAGATGGACTTTCTTTTGAAGGTCAAGAAAATTGAAAAAAACAAAAGCCTTTACTTGTCCCTTTTTTTCTGTCTTGGGAAAACGTGTCGTGATCAAGGTGAAGCCTTAACACGATCTCACTGTTTTTTCAATTGTTTTTCTGTAATGAGATTGTCGGTACAAGACGCCAGAATTCTTGCCAGGCTACAGAAGTTTTTGCTTTTATTTTGGGTTAAGTTTTGGAGAAGAGGAAAGTGAAACTCGAGTCAGAATTCAGGGGGCATATGCATATCTATAATGAAGGTTTGTTTTTTTGAACTTTAAGAAAGGACAGTTGTTGCCGTTAGAACCAATTCCCTCCCTCTTTCTCCTATTCTTCCCGCCATTATAATCAGAATATTATATTACACCACATAACATCTTTTAAAATTCTCACTCCTCACTGTTTGAGGATGCCAAACCACTGAACCATGTTGTGTTACAGGTCAAGATAGCACAACCCATCAAAAAGGAGAGCACTTTCATTTCAATTTTTCAAACCCAAATCAATAAGGCTAAGGTTGATATGTGTATAATAATAATAACGTATGTACATGCACAAGTTGGGCAGCAGAGAAAATGAGAATGAGAGATGGTCCCATCCCATGTCTATTAATTAGGGCGAATCAAAACCCTCACATGCCATATGGGGCCCTGCCTCACATGCAAATTGCTAGGCTATCTATAATCTATCCCCCAATTTCTTCATTCCATCATTTTTTTACAAACGATTGGAAACGATTAAAAGATTAATACACTCACAACTAGCTATCGAACCAACACATCACAAATATACATCGTCCTTGATATCCATGTTTCGAACTAAGGCCTCCTCTAACCAACAAAAGACAGACAAAAAGGCTAATTGGTGTCTTCATTTCATCATCTTAACACATGACATGGGACTCATCACTGCCCTTTGTTTTGTTTCCAACTTTATCAGCTATCCATGTTTGTTGGTCATATTCTGAGCCACTGCATGTTAGAGGGGAGGCCATAATCAAACATTTATTTCTTTTCTTGCCCCCACAAACTCATAGTGGGGCGTGGGGCATTTGGGACACCGCATGGAAATTAATTTGGGTCACTGAAACCGATGCACATTCTTGCATAGTGTTCAGAATATATCCGTTAGGGATATTTGGTTGCACTTGACGTTGCTTTCTTTCTCAGCGTTGGTTTGTTTGTACTTATGTAAATAAGGACTGTATACTTGGGATACAACAATTTCTCCTCCAAAAATAACCCTAGCCTATAACTTTGCAAGTTATATGACTTGAATTTCCTGAAATCATCATAACCAAGCATTAGGATATTATTTTATTTAGCCACCGGTTCTTATTCACAACCTGACAACATCTGGTAAGAAGAGAATTTCTGAATTGCACTTTTTTAGTAACAACTCTCTTTTAGTTTTTAGAAAACTATTTTCATTTCTCACTTGGAGATGTTATGTAGAGTAGATCGTCATGGATGATGGTGGGTTCAATTCTAAACATACCCATATTTCATATTGGGGTTATTACATTCCGAATCATGATTAATATGATTATTGTTTTCTTCCATTAAGCAGTTGCGTCTAGTAATTCATCATTTGGTAAAGATGATAGTGGTAAGAAAAAGGTGATTTGATTATGGTGGTTTGGTTGGTAAATGACTTGTTGTCATGTGGAGTGTTTGGGAGAGCACATGGAAGGATAACGAGTGCCGGCAGAGAAACAAACACTGATAATGAGCATAATGATAGAAAAAGAGAAACCACAATTACACAACCAAAAGTAAAAGATTGCTTCCATTGCCATTTGCCAAAGGAAAAAAGAAAATAAAAAAGGCTTAAAAGGTGAAAAAGGAACAAATCATCACTGCAATTGCTGCTATGCTCTATTGACTAAAACAAAGTCGTCCTTTCATAACTCAAATTTGACATTCATATCATACTATTGCTTGCTTGCTTGTAAGACTCTAGACAAAAGAAAAAAGAAGGAAAAACCCACAAAATCATTCATATCCTATAAAACCCAAATGTATGCAGACAAAAACACTGACACTGGGAGGAAGAAGAAGATAGACACACAAACGGTGGTCAGAACTTGGAACTTGATGGGATGAAACAGAATGAGACCAAAATGAAAACAAAAAGGGAAAGGGGCAAAAGAAAAAAAAATGAACAACGCTTCTGCACCTGCTCCTAAAAATGGCATTGTATTTTTCAGTTGAAGCAGACCGAGGTTGACCAATAACAGAAAGACAATGTGGAGGGAGGCAAATGGATTGGACGATATAATGACATGTGTAAATCAATGTACACTTGCCAAATTTTTTTAAAATAGGAAAAGATGAAGGGTAGAATTCAATTGATGGAATATGTCGAAATTGGGTAGAAGCTATATAATTGGTAAAAATGGGAAATGAGATACTAGCAAGGATGGCCTCTGCGGCAGGGGAGTGCACCAGAACCTGAAGTTATGGCTCCAACCATGGCAGAGGACTTGGCTCCCAAGCTTGAGGCCCTGGCATAGCTTGCTGAAGCTCCAGCTCCGGATGGAGTGAAGTAGGCACCATTTAGAAGCAGGTCTCCTTCTGATCTCCAGTTCCAGCTCTTCCATTGGGTTGTCGGTGTCTCGACCCTCTTGGTAACCTTTAAAATGCAAATTTGTCATCAACAATCAGTTAGTATGTGAACCTCATCATGATTCATAGCAAACAACCATTAGTTGACAAGGAAATATGATTAGGACTAAATTACCTCCTTTGCAAAGGGGTTGGTTGGAGCAGCATATCTGTTGCCCTGGCTGTTGATGGTGGGCTCTGCACTTCCACCAATGGCATACATTTCCCAGTGAGTGTAGTCGTTGTTCACCACATGGAAATACCCGTGCCTACACCTGCATTGTCCATAGTCCATGTCTTAATCTTATGAGAACCAAAAACGAATCGCGGTGCAACAAATTGGTATTGCATTTCTGCTGTCAATAAGCCAATCCGATTTCATTATTGAACTGAAGACTTACCTTGGCATTCTTTGGATAAGTCCCTCCCCAAAGTGGTTGTAAGCAATTGTCACTTGCATTGCCTTGTCTCTGGTATAAGAGTCACTGTGGCCCAACAGCATCACCTGGTTTTCAATAACATAGATATCAATGTCAAGATTAAAACAGAAAAGTAAACACATGGAAGTAAATAGTAATTAGAGATTCAGAAGAATTTACAGACCTCATTGTGGTGGGTAAAGTGGTTGTTGGAAATGGTAATTGCAGTTGAGCCCATGACAGCATCAACAAGACCATCAGCACAGTTGGAGAGAGAATTGTGGTCAACCCATATATGGCTGGACCCGAAGATGGAGACAGCATCACCATCAGCCATTGTCCGCCACCCAAAATGAGATGGAGAGCTCCTCACCAAAGCATTTCCTGTGGGCTTGCAGTCATGGATATGTAGACCATGAATTATGATATTTGTAACAAATTGGATTGTGATGCATGCTCTATTAGCAATGTGAACATTGACTCCGCGGCCATCAATGGTCTTGAAGCTGTTCATGATGAGCTCCTGCTTCAATTGTATCACCATGTCTCGCTTGAACACAATCCAGAGAGGCTCGTTCTGGATGACAGCGTGGCGAAGAGTACCGGGTCTGGGGTTTACAGGATCATCATCACCAGGGTCAGTGACAACATAGAAGCGACCATCACGACCACCAATGGCATTTCTGCCAAAACCAATGCCGCAGTCTGCAAGACGCTTGCGGTTTTTCTGCCAGTTTGGATCACAACGCCAGCAGTCATCAATTGGATTGCCAGTTCCACATGAGAAGAAGCCCAGCTTCCTTCTCTCAGTGCTGTTTCGGATACTCCTGCAATATCAACAGTGTTTCTTTCTACTGTCAACATTATTGTAAAAAACAAAAGCTCTTTCATCATAATCCAAACAAAAGCTCTTCCACAATTACAAAGAACTATTGCCTAAACATACTCTAAAAAGTTATAAAGTTAAAAGTAATTTCTACTGGGATGTTGGTGGTGGCAATTTCTCCTTAGTTTCTTCATTTGTCATGTAATGTATTTGGCAAAAACCCGAGTCACTACATGACAGGGCAGCACATGAAGAGGGGAAAAAGCAAGTATTTTGTCCATTTGTGAGGAAAATTGCTCGGTGTAACGGATAGAAAATTGCTCTCTTGATTTTGGCCCAGAAAGAGAAACAGAGTACATGTTATCCTTCTAATCATTGTTTTGGCAGCACACGGGTGAAACCTATCACATTTGGTTAAAAGTTCCAAAATGCCACCTGAGTCTATAAGATCTGAATCTATCAAAATCATAACAGCCAAAGATTTACACCAAGGATCATTAAAAGCAAGGAAAAGAGGGGTGTAAAAATCCCATAGCATCTTTATTGGCTGGCCTAATCTGTGACATAGACATGCATATACAAATCAAATTTCAGCACTTATAATAGGTGGTGTGTCCTAGACACTATCAAATTCATTACACAGACCTAAAGCTAAAAACTTGGTACCCTTCAAATGTAGGACATAGTGTATGTTTAGACAAGGAAAGAGGCATGTGGAAAAGGGAAAGTATATGCCAAGTCTAACATGGAACAGGGAAAATACGACCGACAGAAAAGGGAAAGTAGAAAATGCATAATGCAAACAACTTCAAGCATTTACAGTGCATATGACAGAAAAGGCAAAGTGAAAATGGCATAAATAGAAGGCAGGGCCAATTCATGAGAATGCAAAACTTCAGGCATTTGCAAAATTAGAAACTGAGTTAATTGAAATTTCCAATTGGGTCTCAGTTGGGTTAGGTCCAAATTCATAAGAGCTACCACCCACCAAAACCTCTCATCAGTGAATGCAGTCAAATGTTCATCTGCTCAGTTCTCTTTCTTCTTTTGAGATAAAATTTGGTTTATTTTATTATGCCCCATGTGCATTACACAGTCACATGCTCATACCAGAAAATATAGACACAGTGGTGACACATAAAAGTGTAGAGAGAGAGAGAGAGAGAGAGAGAGAGAATCAGAGAGACCCACATGTCAACCATGGCAACAACCTCCTCTGGGTCATCAACTGCATGCTTATTGAAGCTCTCACCATCCTCAGCCACCCTGAAAAAACCAATTAAGCAACAAAAAAAAAAATTGAGCAAAAACCAAACCCAGAAAAATTACCAAAACCCAATAAACCATAAACCTCCAAAACATTCACTGTCACCAAAAAAACCGTTGGGTTGGGTCAAACTGACCAATAAAAAAATTGGCGAATTGGAGAGTGACACGTTTCAGTCGCAGGAAGCAAGTAGGAAACAAAAAATAAAAGACACGCGGCTATGGAAAGCACGATTCACAGTGTGTACGAGTGCAGTGCTCGAGGCCATAGCTGAGGGGCAGACACTGTCGACTAAAAACCGTTAGGGGGCGTTTTTTGTGCAGAGGGAAGAAAAAACTAGTCGGCGAGAAGGCAGATGTAGAATTAACTGTATTGGCTGAGGGCCATTATGGAAATGTTGAAAAACGAGAAGCCACAGAGAGAGGGAATCCGAGGGGAACAAACATAACGGAATAAACGGCCCAGATCTTTAGATCCAGATCTTGACGGTTGAGATTGTTATTTGCCGTTGGGACAAGAACAGAACAGAATCATCCAACGGCTTAAACGGGAGGAGGGGACAAGCGAAACGGTTTAGATCCATCCACGTGGACAAGAACAAATAATAAAAAATAAAAGAAAGAATTAACGTTGGGAGGGGTTTTTGGTTGGGTTACGGACCTGGCCGCCATTGATGAGTTGCTTGAGCTCTGCAACTCCTCTGTTCCTCCATTTCTGCAGAGAAAAAATTCCAAAATTAAAAAAAGAACATAAATTAAAGATAATGACATGAAATTCAAGCACAGAAAATAACCAAACACCCCCATTTGTACGGACAAGTTCAAGAACTCCCTCTCCCTCTCTCTCTAGAAACCTGCAATTTCTACTAAAGTACAACGAATGTAGCTCCATTTTTCCACTAAGAAACCCCATTTCTCTTAAAGCAGCAAAGCACTCTTTTGCCTCACTCACTCAAATTCCACTCAACCAAACAAGCAGAGAAGTGGAGAGAGAGAGAGAGAGAGAGAGAGAGAGAGAGAGAGAGAGAGAGAGAGAGAGAAGCAAAAGTAAACCTGTTTCCAGAGATCTCAGCAATTGCAGCAAAGAAGCAAAGCACGAGAAGCACCGCCAAGAAAGCACCAGTAACCCATCTCTTACTCTCAAACACCGCCATTGCAATCTCTCTCTGTTTCTCTCTCTGTGTTGCTGTGAGGAGAGAATGTGAAGTGGAGCAGAGAAATTAAAGACACGCCCACACACAAACACACAAAGAAATGAATGTGAAATGCAGAGGGGGAGAGAGAGAGAGAGAGCAGAGAGAAAAACAAGTGTGAGTCAGAGAATGAGGAAGCTCACACAATCACTCCCATTTATATAGACACCCACATTGTGCACCCACTTCTTTCTTTAACGCCGTTTAGTCGTTTACAGTTATCTAACTAACACCAATAACAGTGTTGATTTTTTTTTGACTCCCCGGGATTAGGTTCACTCTAACCCAACAACCAAACAACCCCCACCACCAACATTAACTGCTCTCACCCAAACAAACACAGCACCTCTATACGTACTCCTTTTTACTTTTTACTGCTTTTTACTGCGAGACCCCCAACTAACATTTTACCGCAGGCCTATCCGACCGACTCCTTTTCTTGCCACGTCAGCCCAGGCCGTTACTGATGAGAGAGAGAGAGAGTACGGACGGTCACGGGAACAGATGTCACCGTATTCTGCTGGTTTTGCGCTACGATTAAGAAGTTAACTAAAACGCAAATTCCTTTTTCTTTTTCTTTTTTTTAATTTTTTTAATTTTATAATGGCGTGTTTGGGTCGAAATGCAATTCGAGGCGCTAATCACGGCCATAAGGCGTTGTTTGACTACCCCCATTGTTTCAAGTGGGTAGAGGGGCAATGCTTGCTTACAGCCTGTGTACGCAATATTTCTCTTTGGGTTTTATTTAATTTTGCTGTGGAATTGAAGGCATTGTTTGGTGGCAGTTTTAAGGGCTTTCCCTGCTTTTCTGTCTTTATTTTAATTTTAATTTAATTTAATTTTCTCTTTTTTGGTTGTGGCTTGAACTGTGAAGTCTCCTTATCGCTAATGGTGGTTACCAACTCACTCGATATGTCAATTTCCAGCAAATCCCCATGTGAGACAAAATTTCTATAATGCAGTGCAGAATTTGAGTCAGATTGCAATGTGGAAATTGCAAAGACAAACTGAATATTCAAATTTGGCAACAAAGACTTTGAACCATGCATATCCTGGACTAGATATCCATAATTTAGCATCATGTGAGTGTGTGCATATGTTAGCTACATATGTGAACTCTCAAGTTTTGTGACACATTTTGCCATAGATGATCATGTGTGCTAAGGTCTTGATGATCGCTCTTTTCTTTCCTTTGCAAATCTTACGTCCTTTGCCGAACATCTCCACCCAACCTACGTACCGAAGATAACAGAACTTCTCAACACCCCCCAAGTTGTATCCAGATTTGGACATCAACGCAACATGTTAATTTGAAAGCTTAAATTGAATTATAAATTACTTGAGCTTTTCTATATGTGCAAGGCAATAGATTCAAGAATGATTAAAGCTTTCACATGTTAAAACTCTCATCAGTTGGGGGTCGTATTGGTTTGGTAGGAACAGAATTGAAGCCATCAATTTCAGCTATAAATGCTAAAATGCATAGGAATTAAAAGCACGATAAATTGTGGCCAAAGCCTTCAGCCCTTTCTTCTAGCCAAAAATATATGTCTCCTTTTCGTTATCAAAATTAGTTATCTATCTCAGCTCAACACATATTTTTATCATTCATTTTACAACGTAACCTAGAGTTCTGAACTAATCGCTTTCGTTTCTTTAAAGCAATTTTTTTATTGTTTAGGATTTTAACTTAAGATCTCTTTTAGAACATAACTAATGCTAAACAAAGATAAAATGTGCGACACAAGGATAATGCATGTATTGGTGATTATCGTGTAAAAAAATGCATTTATAGATAGTTTCAAACACAAGGATGATGCAATAGAATTTCAGTACATCTTTTTATCTTCAATAGGAACCTCCCATGAAATAAATTATGAGCTACGATTCTTTTATAGTTTATGCTAAATTATTACAAGCAGAAGCAGTAAATACGTTTAAGTACTGTCTATACATAAATATATATATATGGTAGGAATGTGATGATCTAATTAGGGAATTTGTATTTTCTTGGTTCACAAGAAATTCCGTATATAATCTTACGTTCGAAACCCTACTTATCCAAGTTCAATGTGGATGTCTTTAATGGTTCTGGTTGATCCAAATTAGCCTATAGTTCTACTTATTCACCACAAGGAGACATCAACAAGTTTAAAAAGAAAAGGGCAAGTAATATCTAATTAGGGTTTTTGCTGGGTTCACAAGAAATGCCCTAATTATCTTTCCCTTTGACCCAAACTAACCCTATTTAATTACTTTAAAGTTTTACTTATTCACCGCAATGAAACACATTTTTTTAAAATAAAAAAATCGATGCAAAAAAGTAGAAAAATAAAAAAGAAACAGAAAGTTAAGTTGGACTTGGAAGTGGGAACACAGACTTGAATGTTGCTAGACCCAAGAAAATGGGCCAAATAAAGGTTAAATGGTAATTAGGCAAATGGAGTTTGAATTTTGGAGGGTTTTCACTAACACCTTTTCGGGGGCAAGATTATGTTGCCATGCAACAACCAAGTGGTTCTTATGATGGCAAACTTGTCACGCCTTTCCATTTGCTTGGTGTCTTGCCCTTATTCTCATCATTCAGTACAAAAAGGTACACAAGCACAGGAACACCATCATCATCATCTACTCGAACCAGCGCCATTGATTGTATGGACCAATCTTGCTGCATGGGTTTTGGGTTCTGAGAGAGCTTTGACTTTTTGAGTTAACAAGCTTAACTGAATCATTAACTTGTAAAAAAGTAAAAGTAAAACAATGCTATTTCTACATGCTTTTAAGACAAAAGTGTTTTACTAATTAACTAATGTCACAAGCTGTCTTAATATTTGCAAAAATTAAGATTAGAGGAGTCTTTAGTAAATTAAGAATAATCCAATTAATATTGCCCGTCGGGTTATATATAGCTCAGTTGGTTGAGCTCTTCCACCTTTACCAATGTGGGCAAAGGTTCGAAATCCCTAGGTACCCAATAAATATTTGTGTAAAACCTCTATTTATGTTTTAGTTTGTAAAACTGTTTATGATCTCTTCACTCTAAACATATTTGCAAAAATTAAGTATTGCATCTAATCAGATATGGTCCACAACATTGGTTGGAAATTATGTTGGAAAGCAAGTCTCTTGATATGTAGTTAATTAACCATAATGAATCTCTGTCCCTTGAGATTAACAACTTCCGAGTTAATTAATTCTCTCTTTTGCTTTAATAATAATCACTGTTTTTGATTAGTCAATTTGGTACGTTGATGAGTGAGATTATTGATGGAGGCCCCGCAAAACCATCAAGGATGATGACACAAAAAAAAAAAAAAAAAAAAAAAAAAAAAAAAAAAAAAAAAAAAAAAAAAAAAAAAAAAAAAAAAAAAAAAAAAAAAAAAAAAAAAAAAAAAAAAAAAAAAAAAAAAAAAAAAAAAAAAAAAAAAAAAAAAAAAAAAAAAAAAAAAAAAAAAAAAAAAAAAAAAAAAAAAAAAAAAAAAAAAAAAAAAAAAAAAAAAAAAAAAAAAAAAAAAAAAAAAAAAAAAAAAAAAAAAAAAAAAAAAAAAAAAAAAAAAAAAAAAAAAAAAAAAAAAAAAAAAAAAAAAAAAAAAAAAAAAAAAAAAAAAAAAAAAAAAAAAAAAAAAAAAAAAAAAAAAAAAAAAAAAAAAAAAAAAAAAAAAAAAAAAAAAAAAAAAAAAAAAAAAAAAAAAAGCAGAGAAATTAAAGACACGCCCACACACAACACACAAAGAAATGAATGTGAAATGCAGAGGGGGAGAGAGAGAGAGAGAGCAGAGAGAAAAACAAGTGTGAGTCAGAGAATGAGGAAGCTCACACAATCACTCCCATTTATATAGACACCCACATTGTGCACCCACTTCTTTCTTTAACGCCGTTTAGTCGTTTACAGTTATCTAACTAACACCAATAACAGTGTTGATTTTTTTTTGACTCCCCGGGATTAGGTTCACTCTAACCCAACAACCAAACAACCCCCACCACCAACATTAACTGCTCTCACCCAAACAAACACAGCACCTCTATACGTACTCCTTTTTACTTTTTACTGCTTTTTACTGCGAGACCCCCAACTAACATTTTACCGCAGGCCTATCCGACCGACTCCTTTTCTTGCCACGTCAGCCCAGGCCGTTACTGATGAGAGAGAGAGAGAGTACGGACGGTCACGGGAACAGATGTCACCGTATTCTGCTGGTTTTGCGCTACGATTAAGAAGTTAACTAAAACGCAAATTCCTTTTTCTTTTTCTTTTTTTTAATTTTTTTAATTTTATAATGGCGTGTTTGGGTCGAAATGCAATTCGAGGCGCTAATCACGGCCATAAGGCGTTGTTTGACTACCCCCATTGTTTCAAGTGGGTAGAGGGGCAATGCTTGCTTACAGCCTGTGTACGCAATATTTCTCTTTGGGTTTTATTTAATTTTGCTGTGGAATTGAAGGCATTGTTTGGTGGCAGTTTTAAGGGCTTTCCCTGCTTTTCTGTCTTTATTTTAATTTTAATTTAATTTAATTTTCTCTTTTTTGGTTGTGGCTTGAACTGTGAAGTCTCCTTATCGCTAATGGTGGTTACCAACTCACTCGATATGTCAATTTCCAGCAAATCCCCATGTGAGACAAAATTTCTATAATGCAGTGCAGAATTTGAGTCAGATTGCAATGTGGAAATTGCAAAGACAAACTGAATATTCAAATTTGGCAACAAAGACTTTGAACCATGCATATCCTGGACTAGATATCCATAATTTAGCATCATGTGAGTGTGTGCATATGTTAGCTACATATGTGAACTCTCAAGTTTTGTGACACATTTTGCCATAGATGATCATGTGTGCTAAGGTCTTGATGATCGCTCTTTTCTTTCCTTTGCAAATCTTACGTCCTTTGCCGAACATCTCCACCCAACCTACGTACCGAAGATAACAGAACTTCTCAACACCCCCCAAGTTGTATCCAGATTT